ATTGATTCTGCTGCAACTATTTGACTGGATGCTAAGAAAGTATTTGAAAGTTTACATGCACAGTTTGTGACTTGGGAAAAATGGCTTTCCAGAGGAATGTTTAACACTAATTAGATTTTTTTCTCTCTTTCCTGGGTCACAAGTGATGACAAAGTGCATTCTTTCAAGTTTGTTTAGAGAGATGCATAAGGCAGGAATCTCTCCTTTTCCTTCCTTGATATTTTATTTGTGCTTGGAGACCCTGACATGTCCTGTTCAGCAGAGCAGTGATATCTGTGGTTTTGTGTATGAGCTGTTTTAATGTAAAACAGCTGTATATGCAGATGATTTATGGTCATTTATCAGCAGGTTAGTTTTCTGTACCAAAACGAATGTGGTGTGTGTTGTGAGCCATCCAGAGACTTTGTGTGACTGGACAGCCTAAAAATATCCCAAATAAATAAATAAATATGTATAATTAACTGGTGTATTTTCAAGTTATATGATCAATTGGTGAAAAACTGTATTAAGTTAGTTCAGTTGGCAGCATTAAGTTAAGCAATGTAATTCTTAAATGGTGATTCCATCGGTATGCAGAAGTAATAACATATCTTGGAATATAGGTGCCTGGAGATATTTCTTAGATGATTAACCTGAAGTCCAGGGCATTCCTGGTGGAAATATCTTTTGAAGTGGAAAGATGGGCTTCATTTAATTTTAGGTGCAATTCGATGGTCTCCCAACACCACCTGGGAGGGTCGCAGGATCCCGCGGAGACCCAGCTCCAAAATCCTACAGTCCCAAAGCTGGGAGTCCAAAGGCCCTGCCCTGCCCTGCCCTGCTGGCCAGCATGGGAAGAATCATGCTGGCAACCCCCTGCCCCTGCTGAGCTCGGGGTGGGGAAATGGGGGGTGCTGGGGGTGGGGCTGCAGAGTTGCACTAATTCCAATCAGTGCCCCAATCTCCCTCTTTGGCACTAAATCTGGAAGGCCAAAAGTGCTCATCTAGTGAACCAGCAGTATCCAAGACTCAGTGGCAGCAGCAGAGATTTCTGCCCCTTTCCTTTGCTACTGCCACTGGATGCTTGCAAGCTTCTGAGCTGGGAAGCTTATGTGCATCTGGGAGGACAGCGATAGAATTCTGCCCTTACCTTCTTGGGGTAAGGCCAGCAGAGTTAGGAGGAATGCCTCACCACGGATAACGCATGCACTGCGCAATATTCCTCTGCACATTTCTCCTCCTGCCCTTAAGAAGACACAGCTGCCAATTAGGGAAGGAGGATGCAATTTTTAGGTTTTATTTTGTATCACAACACATATTTGTTCTCCCATACCAATAAGTGGAACACATTTTTTTTTTCTTTAATACTCTATGGATTGTTTAGGAGTGAACTTACCTGATTTCTCTTTTTGGCTGGCTGGCTGGCACTAGGACCTTGGCACATTCAAAAGAAAGGAATGTGCATTGTACATTGGGCAGCTGGAGAGTCGTAGAATTGGAGAGATGGAAGGGGCCATGAAGTCCATCAGGTCCAATCCCCTGCTGTTGCAGGACACCAAGTTAAACCATCCCACTCAGATAGCTGTCCATGACACATAATATCTCAGTCAAAGTTTGAGCCATAGTCTCATGCTAATTTTACTGTGTGAGGAAATCCTGATTTGAAAATAAAGAAAAAGGCACCTTTTTCATTTTTTAGAGGGAAGGTTGGAGAGTAGGATTCATACTTTTGACCTGTTAGCAGGATCAGATTATGGCTATTCACCTTTTTCAGTATTGTGGCTTAGATGTTGCTTACCAGGTTGGGTAGCGATATATTAATTACAGCACTACTTTGTCTATCTGTACATGAACCACTTAGGCATTTTATTATATTTAAGCACTATACAAATATCTCATATAGATGGGCCATCAGCAACGAGTGCTTTATCAACGACTAGATTGTTGGAAGAAGCAACCCTGCAACTGCTGTTTGTATCTTTTGCAATGTGATCAAGTGGATGTTCAGAATTTACAGAGGAATGAAGCAAGCAATTAGAATGCTTGAAATAGAAAGTGTCAATGGAATCGATGGGAAGTTGTCCCATATTCCACGTGTACCATTTTTGTAGATTTGGAACTGGGGCTGTTCCTACCAAAATGATGCTTGCTGCCCATTGCAGGCTGCAGTGGCTTGTTAAAAAGCAGCTGCTGTGGGCATGCCCAGTGGTGGATTCTTTCTGGTTGGAAGTTTTTGTGCGTAGGCATTTTGTTCTTGAAAAACCTGTGATAATTGTGGGTGTTTGTGTCATGTTATATTCCTATGATGAGGCAATTAACAGACTGAGGATGAAAGTGGACTTTGAGGGCCCTTGGGTTTGCAAAAATAGGTGAATAGGTACTCACAATCTAACACGCAATGGTCTGAAGACCTTACTCTTCAGTGGTATTTGAATGTACTATATCTTACAATCATTCTTTCAGGGGGATGCTTATTTAGATATATGGGCTCTTATACTAATGTATTTGAAACAGATGGGTCAAAACTCCTCCTCCCCTCTTTTATTAATGGTGCTGTGAATAGTAATTGGAAATGGATACACTTTCTCCTAAATTTTGGTAGGGGTGGTGTTAACCCCTGCTCTTTCCCACTTGCTATTTTTTCTTTCATTAACTCTGCATAGAAAACCTTAAAAAATAAGTGGATTTCAGGTGAAAAAATAAGCAAGAATAGTGTGTACAGACCGCCATCCAGTGGTGTTTTTGAAAAAAGCAAACACCCTTCTCCGGGCTCTGTTCAACATTTTGTCCTTGCTGTGACTCTTGCGAGAAAGAGCCCTTTTTGAATGTATTGCATCAAGATTCCTCTAAAATATATAATAGGACTATTAAAAAGTAGGGTTATGAGAGTGGAGACACTTTGTGAGAGGAGCTGGCATTGCTGTCCGGATCCCACTTCGTCGCATTTGAAGTCAGTAATGGAGGAAAGCATTGTGGCGAGAGACCCCTCAGCCTGGACCCTCAGTTGCATCCAGATGCTCCTTTTCGAAGCAACTGGAGCTCAGTTGGAACTCTTCTATTGCAGAGGCTTCAGCTGTCTCTAAACCGTATCACATGCCTCTGTGCTGGGGAATGCAGGCCTCAAACCACCATGGATTGACTGATGCTTTCAGCAGTAAAAACAAGTCTGGAAACACCAACCCTCCCTAGTTTCTACAGAACAAAGAGTGAAGGGATTTTCAGAGGACAAGAGGTAGAATGGAAGTGTTTTAATTCCATTTATAACCTGCCTTGTTTCTTCCAAGGAACTCAAGATGGCTTACATAGTTCTCCTCCTCCTCCTCTCATGAGACTCAAAACAACCATTTTGTGAGGTAGGTTGGGCTGGAAACTAGAACCCCTAACTCCTGAGTTCCAGACCCACACGCTTAACCACTGCACCACAAAGGCTTAAACACTGAGCTCCACAAATCCTAGTCCCCAGCGCTCCAGCTCTTATCCCACATGCAAGCCCTTTTCAGCCAAAGGGTACTCTTGCTGATGACTGTCTAGCTCACCTTGTAACCTTCAAGAGGTTCTGGTCTCCAAGCCAGCAGAGCCAGTTGTGACAGATGATGGGGTCCTTGGCCAAAATAGACGGAAGAGCAGAAATTGCCCACCCCTGACCTCTTGCCCACAGTCTGGCACCCTTCAGTCATGTTTTGCCTACAACGTCTCTTGTGTGTCTTGGCTGGCATCATGGGGGTTGAACTCCAGGACTTTTGGAGGTATCAGGTTGCAAAAGGTGCCTACAGAATGCATTGCCCAGCTGTGGGGCAAAGAAGATTGTGTGTGTGTCCGTGTCCTTCCCCTGCCTGCTTTCCATCCGACAACAAGACTCCTCCCCAACACCTCTATGCCCCATTTGACATGTGTGCATGTGTGGAATGCAACATGTCAGGAGCATAATTAACTTTTGACATCAGGCCTAGCTAAAAGTTCCCTCGTTCTTTTTGAGACATTTGAATTGGTCCTAAGAAGGGTATTGCCTTGCTATAATTTCTTTCTGATGGATTGGTATGGTGATTAATTATACTTTTTTAAGAAACAAAAGAAGATTCTTAGGCTACAATCCTAAATCCTACTCACCCTTGCCCCAGAGTAAATCCCATTGAATGGCATAATTTCTCAGTAGCCACATGTACGGTTGCACTGTAAATTAAGTTCTGTAACAGTAGATTACAGAATGATGTGAACCATCATCACAGGAATGGTTATCTAATATTATATCAAGCCTGTCCTGAAGTGCGGGTGTTTACATCTTACTCTGCTTTCTTTTGGATATTAGCTGGTACTGCTGGGCATAGTCAAATGGTATGATGCAAACACAGCCAAACTAGGTAGCCTAACAAAAAGATGCAAGACAAAATTGAGGCTACATTGCTCCATTTCTTTGATTGAGAGTATTTTATTATTATTTATCCCCAGTACTGTTAATATCAACCACAGCAACACCATTCCTGATTGCCCAGGGTGCACACATACATTTTCTTGTGTTAACTGCATCAACACAGAGAAGTAGACGTATCTTGGCAGGTTTGTTGCCCACTGCAAATATCCCTGCTACATAAGAAGTATTCCTCTAGCTAAGGCCAAAGGGTTCCTGCTCTCTCCTCCAGCAATTCCCTTGTCTCTGCTAAGGCCGGGCCAGGCCAGGCCAGGCGGCTGCAAAGAAGCGCAGCATTAAAGGGTATAATGGCAATGGCTAGTCTCCTGTCTGTGGATTGTCCCTCGCAACTAATCCTCTGAGGTCTACCGCCTCGCAGCATGGCAGTTTCACTCTGCGATGCTACGAGCACACACGGGGCGCGGGTGTAGGAAGCCAACCACGTGCTTCCCCTTCTCCACCCACAGCCCTGAAGGCACCCCAGTGCCCTGGGACTGGCGGCAAGGAGGGGCGGGAGGCAGCAGCGCTGCGATACCAGGCACTTGGGAGAGTGCGCGGGGAGCGGGGTCGGGGCAGGGATCCGATGCGGTTTCACAGCCTCTCTGCTCCGCCGCCTTCAGGGCTCCCGTGGCACCGCGTGGCCTGGCTTGGCCTCCCGCCCGCACACCGCTGGCTCTGCGCCGGCCGCCTCCTCGGCTCCCTGGCCTGGCGAAGGGGCGGCATGCCCCGGGACCACCGTGGCACTCGAGCTGCTGCTGTCCAGGCTGCTGCTGCTGCTATAGGAGAGCGCGCCTTCCCCCGGCGGCGCTCTCCGCGGCGGCCTCGCACTGGCCGGCCGGGACTCCGTCTCCAGCTCCTCCTCCGTGTCTGAGTCTGGCGCCGTGTGTCGGCGGATCCGCGACATCGCTTCCTTCAGGTCCCGGACGTAGGATCTGCCTTGCGCGGCTGGCGCCGGCGCTTCGTCGCCCTGCGCGGGGCCGCCCCCTTCCTGGCAAGGGGCGGCCACCCCTCTGGGGCCCTGTTCCGGAGGCGCAGCCTGGCTCCCGGTGGGCGCGGGGGCAGGCAAGGGCTTCCTGGGGCTGCTGGGGGCCGAACCAGCCCCTCCGGGCTGCCCTGCCCCGGGCGCAGGCCCGGCCGCCGCCCCGCACGCCCCCGCGCGGAGTCTGGGGCTCCCTCCCGCCTCTGGGGAGCCCAGCTCGCTCAGGGAGAGGCCCAGGATGCGGGCAGCTCGCTCCTCCAGGGAGGCCGGCGCTGGGGAGCGGGGCGAGGCGGGGGCCCTGGCCTTGTCTGGCGGCCTCTCCGGGCCCACGTAGCGGACGCGCTCCGTGCGGGGCGGCGGGATGTAGTGCGCTTGGATCACCACGCACGTGGCATCGATGACGAACAGCCCTCCCTGCCTGCGGGGGGCGGGCTTCGACGGGGCAGCTTGGCCCCCTTCGGCTTCCCTGGCCTGCCCGGGCTCCTTCCACCTCGGGAGAAGGTCTCTGCTGGACTTCCCTCCGGCCCTGCCCCCGTTGCCCAGGGCTCCAGGCCAGCCGGCGGCATGGCTAAAGCCCCAACCGGCAGGGAGCATGTGCTGGGAGGGGCCACTTGGGAGGGCATGGGAGGGCGCCGGCCCTGGCACCCCCTTGTTCCTCCTCTTCACCCGAGGCAGCGTGTGGCTTTGGGGAGGGGAGCTCCCGCCCCAGCCAGGCGCCCAGCCATAGGGGGACTCTGCGCTCTCTGGCAGCATCCACGGGCCACCCCACGTTCTGGCTCCTGGCAGGTAGCTCCAGCTCCCTGGCAGTTTAGCCTGCCGTCTTGCAGCCTGCCTCTCAGGACTGTGGGGCAAAGGCCCCGGCTCACAGGGCCCCACTTTCTCCACCTTGCAGCAAGGCCTGGGGGGCTCCTTCTGGATCCGCTTGGCTGCTCGGGCTTCCCCCTGAGCCCGCTGCTGCGGCTGCACTGTGCGGTGGGGTGCCTCATAGGATGGGGGCGCCACATAGGGTGGGGGGCGTGGCCAGTTTTCCTTGCGGGGGCCCTGCCCTGCCCGGAGGCGTAGGAGCATGTGGGCTTCATAACTTGGGGGAGCTCTGGAAGGGGCTCCCAGATTCCACTGGCATCTTGCAACAGGGCCTCCTGCTGGGCACTTGCCTTCCTTTGCCACGTGGCTGGCTCCCCAGGTTGCATCCCTTCTGCAGACTGGCTGTGGCCCATGGAAAGCAGGGTTCTGTGGTCTTTGGGCCTTTGGGGAGGATGCCGCCCTGCTCAGCTCCCTCCCTGAAAACCAGTGGCCCTCCGGCTTCAGCAGGCCCCAGCGGGGGGGCAGTTGGCCATCGTGCCAATTGGTCGAATCCTGGAGTACCCGGGGGCCAGGGTGACGCCGGCAGGGAGAGTAATCAGGGATGAGTTGCTTCTCCAAGAGCCTGCGAAGGACAGAGATAGAGCTGGTAAGTCTTGCAGCAACTCCACCGGTGTGAACAGAAGCACGTTTGACATCTTACTGCAGAACAGTTCTCAAGCATCCAAAGCAGCTTCAGACCGTGTTTGTTTGTTTGTTTGTTTTTTAGTGATTTAAGCCCCCCCAGTTTCTTTTGCCCTGTGTAAGTTGCTCTTAAAAAAAACAGAAAACAAACCTTTGGCTCATGTGGCCACTTAGCCACTACCAGAAAAAGAGGAGCTGCCTTACCAAAAAAAGGTGAGCCAACTTGCCTAATATTTGCATGTAGTGTGCTCTTGCAGACCTCTCAGAAAGCCTTGAGGCACAATGATAAAGTAGTTTCCAAAAGCCACTAGTTTCTCTTCATTCTCACCAGCAGAGTTTTCTCTGGCCTGCCTCTGCCATTCTGTTTGGCCAGCAGAATCTCAAGAGGTGATGAGAGAAAAGAGAGAATACTTCTAATGGGCATCACCAAGCATAATGAAGAGGTTCCCTCTTTTCTCCAAGGAGAACACTTGATATATAAAATATAAATTACATTACCTCAACTAAAAAATCAGTTTCATCAGAATCACAGAAAATATGTTTCGGAAGGGCACAGGAGCTTTAATGTCAACTTTTCTGTTGCTATGCTTTCAGAAATCTAACATGGGATACAGCTTGTCCACCCATAAATACATTTTATCCTTTCTGTGCAACCATCAGATTTCTCTGAGTGCCCTCGTCATGTCTTTATGACATTTTGAAAGTGGGTCAGCTAGAGGAAAGGCAAACAAGCTCTAAAAAGAAGCAGTGACAAAATCCCAAAAGCTTACCCCAGTGTTTCTTGTCTCAGAAAGCTCACACAGTTTGAAGAAGATTCTGTACCACCTTAAGAATCATTCTCTCAAAATAATTTATGCACAGCTGGCCCAGAACTCACAAATTGTAAAACTAATGAAGGAAATCTTCCTGGATCTAATATATCCACAAAACATCTCATCCCTGTCCCTCTTTTTGATGCAGACAGAGATCCTGCTAAATGGACTTCAGAAATTCCTGAAGAAGTGCATCAGCAAAGAATTGGTATTTTCAGTGTACTGGGGGAAAATGTAATGCTTGAGCCTCATGATAGTCAAAAGCAACATGTTATCTGTTGTCCTCCACACTTGCGCAAGGATTTGAAATGGGGAGAATCATTGTCAGAAGTGGGCTGTTATATTTTGGATCAACAGCAAATAGTATTTGTATTGTCTGAAAGTATTTTCATTCATCTAAAGTGATGGAAACTGCACTTGTGGAGGGAATTTTTTCAAACTGGAAAAAATGTGAAGAAAAAAAGCGAGGAACATGAAAATGGCAATTTACTCTGAAACTGTATTATCGTCTAGTTTTTAAGAAAGAACAAAATGAACATAATGGAGGAACATTCAAAAGCCAGATGTGTGAAGAAACCAAATACTGGAATAAAAGATTGAAGCACTTTGTTACTGCCATCTTACTTGCAATAGGACAACTTCCATTCTTTGGGGACAACCAGCTTTTACAATCACCTCAGTGGAAATTATCCTGGAACATGAGAATGCATTGCCAAATTTGACCTTTTTCTTGATCAGCAGATGAAAAAAATGAAAATAGTGGAAGGAGTCATGTTTCATACCTTTCCTCCCAGACAGGTGATGTACCAGTTGAGCTAATGAGGATTGAAGCTCATATGAAAGGAATACAGGGGATTAAAGAGGCAGAGCACTGTATGTTTCTCTTACTGCTGACTCTGTACCAGACGTTTCTCATTCAGATCAACTCTGCACTGTTTTGCAGTGCAGCTTGAATGGGGAGGAGAGGGAGCAATTTTTGTGATTTCTGATAACTGGAGAAAACTGAGGTGAAACTTTCATCAGCATCCTTCCAGAGTCTGATACTGACATCAGAAACTGCAAGGAACAGACACCTGATAGGGAATGTAAATAGTATTTCTCCACAAGGCTCCACAAATTTGCATGAGAAGTGTAAAAAACCATACCATATTTGTGCCATTCCCTGAACCTAGCTGGGAAGAACAGTATGGATGCCAGCCTTTATGCAATGAAGCTGTTCAATTTACTTGGTGTGTTCTATGGGGTTTTTTTTTCAGGTTCAATCCACAGATGGAAAATACTTCCAAGACAATACTGATTCTACTCTGAATATGATAACCAACTCCTGTCATCATTATGACAGCATTTTGGAAGCCTTAATAAGATTGCTAATAATTCCAAAGAGAAACTAGTGGCGAAATTAGAAGTAAACTGTTTCATTAAGGGAAAAACCTCTGGAAACACTTGAAATATTTTATGGCAATACTTTGGCCTACATTTCTTAAAAGATTTCATTGCATCAACAAAATCCTACAAAAAACAGTCCCTGAGATTGTGTCCGGGGAAGATTAGCTTCCTCATCAGCTTCATCCATGACATGCAGAAGAACTTTGAAGAAATTGAAGAAGATGCAAAGAAATAGAGTAATTAAGTGGAATCCACATATTCAGATTAAAGGTCAACAGCTCAGAGAAAAATTGACAGCAAACTAATTGGCAGAGCCAAGATCTTGTCAGAAATACACTACAGTGCCTAAGTTTGCACAAAATGGCAACCCATCATGGATAACTAGTCCAGGACATCTGCTTATGTGTCTGTCAAAAAACCCTGATTAGCCCTTTCAGAAGACCCATTTGAAAAGGAAGCCTAAGATTGACAGCTGTCAAAATTCCAAGCTCCTGTAAAGAGGGTGGCTCATATACTTCCAGTTTTCTGAGTACCTAGAGTCTTATGAAAGGTAGAAAAGGTGGAGGATAATGAGAGCAGTCAAGTCCAAGCAAACAAAAACTAGATCTCACTTGGAAGGGGGTGACCTACACACCACCTCCTTTTGCCAGCAAAGATCCTCTTGCAGCTTTGCTTCTTATCTTGCAGCTTATCTGATAGCTCCCCATGGGAAAACTGTCAAATGATGAACAAAGCAGCTTATTTGTAGGCTTGTTTTGCCAGTGCCCATGGATGGTGCCTGCTGTAGTTTGATAGAAGACACCGTTCAGAGCATTGACAATGCAAGGATACACAGTTCGGTTGCTGCACAACAAATAATGAGAAAATGGTACCAATTTTAAAAGGTGGCAAATTAGTAATAGCCACTCTGTGTACTGTTGGGATGCTTTGAAGGGGCTCTCACTAGCAGTAACTTCAGAAATCATAAATACTGGTCTCCCTGTCCAAAAAAGGGACAACTACAGCAACTACAAAAGGGGATGCAGTCAGTGTGGGGAGAGGAGACAAGCCAGGTGCTACTAAGGAGTTTTCAGGAGTAGCCTTGGTGATTTCAGGGATGTTGCATAAGCAACTGGATCTACCTGGAAGGTGTGTCAGTCCTTTTGATGTGCAAGGAAGGTGAGGTTTTCAGTGTAAAATCAACTTCACATCTTGAAACCTCATTTCCGTAATGGTCGGTATTCTAGCTCTGTGCTTTTCTTTGTTAGTAACCTCTGCCACTATTCTTGCTTTGTATCACAAAGCCAGCCCAGGTTGAACATAATAAAGACTTTCTGTTTACAAAGGCTTTGTCCTGATCTGTTTGGAAGAAGCAGAGAGAGAGAGGGCCAACCCTGCCACCAGAATACATCTCCCCAACCTGGCGGGGGTTTGCCCAGACAACCTGTGTGTCTGGCTATTCAGCCTGCTGTCCAGGTGCTAAATATTGAGTGGCAATAGTTCTTATGGTTTTGGGGGCTTCTCTACATGCGACTTTCAACCCACCACTTTACCAAGGCTTCTGCTTCCGGATTCTTCGCAGGGTAAAGATTGGCGCCTTTACATTTGCTTTTCTTTGGGGGATTTTCTTTCTCTGCTCTCTGTACATTCCATTACACAGCCATGAGTTGGCACTGTGGTATAGCAGAATTATAGGAATAAATGGCATCATTCAAACATAGCAGGCTTTCCTTGATCTAAGCACAAAAGTGGCAGGAATGGTTGCAAGAAATTGGCAAGGCCTTGGAGGATGACAGACAGCATCATGGAAAACTCCTAACTGTTGTGAGAGCAGTCAATGCCTCATGTAGAAAACGAAAAATACCACGATTCACCAAATGCAAGAGGTGGAGTTGAGGCAATCGCCAAATGTCACCAAAGGGTTCATGACAGGAAACTTGAATTTCTTCACAGCTCGCATTGGTGATCACACGCTATGCCTCCTGCCCAGCAATACTCTCTTCTCAGAGCATCCTTGGATGCCCAGTCGTCATGCCACGGACAGGTGAGTGCTTCTCTCCTGCGTGCCACAAGCCTTCCATGCCCTTCTGCTCAGCACAGCCGCTCCCAGCCACTCTACAGAGCGTCCTTCATGTGCTAGCCCAGCAGTAGGACTGCACCAGTTCAGTCCTCTTCTGCTTATTCCCCATCTCCAAATGCAGCCCATGGTGTTTCAACTGTGAGGCAGAGTTGCTTTGGTCTTTCGTACTACTGCCTCATCAAGAAAAGCCAAAGCATCTGGGCATTGGGAGCCTCTCTCTCTCCCCCTCTCCCCCACCCCCCCGCTTTCTCTCTCTCTCCCTCTCCCCCCCCCCCCCGCTTTCTCTCTCTCTCTCTCTCTCTCTCTCTCTCTCTCTCTCTCTCTCTCTGTGTGTGTGTGTGTGAGAGAGAGAGAGAGAGAGAGAGAAAGAGAAACTGCCCCTATATTGATCCAAGTACAATAATTTTGAATTTCCAGTATCCTGACACTGTTTAGTTAGCAGTTCACAACAACCATTTCCATCCAGCTAGCTGCAAGGTGGGAAATAACTCTCACTGATTTTTTACAAAATCTCCAGCAAACTTTCTGAGTATGCAAGTGGGTATACATTCTCTTAAGCCCAAGCTGATCCTCAGACAGGAGGTTCAGCACATAGTAACAGCTTCCCCAAGGTTGCCTGGTTTGCAGAGCAATGCTTTGAACCTGGATGGATCTCCCACATCCAAAGCTCGTACACAACTCTTGAACTCACTGCCCAGGGCTCATCCTCAGAAGATGCAAATAATAAAAAAACAGTGCATCTGAGCATGTACAGAATAATCCTTTCCACCTTCTTCATGCAATCCCTGCAGCCCCATGTAAGAAAAAAGGGGTTCATTCATGTTTGCACTTGTGACTTTGAAGCATCCTTGAGCTCTAGCATTCCTCTTTTTAGAGATAAAAAGCAGGCGCACTCCTGCATCGGAGCAGCCGTAGCATAGCAGTTCAGAGTGCACGCTGTGAGCTGCCGAGACCCATGTTCACATCGTGGCTCGGCCACAACCTAACTCGGGGTGAGCCACCCAGACGATACAATGATGCTAACGCACCACAGGAGCTTACCTTTCACGGGACGTGAAGAGCTTTTGCAGCAATTCAAGAAAGTGTTCTAGGAGATGTTGCCAAACTCCCGGCATTTTATCATTTTGGATCTTAGAGCCATGTGCTACTTTCAGTACACCCAGACCCGCCTGCTCAAATCCTCACCAGCACCAGCAGCCCTGGAGCTCCATGATCCCAACCCCAAGCCCCCTCTGCTGGCGTACCAGCGCCAGCACTGGAGTTTTGCCAGAATAGCTGCTCACAGCCCTTTCAGAAGCATCCTGCCGACTCACGTGTACTGGCCAGCCATGCTGTGGTACATCCAGCGCGAACTGCATCCTTGCCCAGTCCACGGCCCCGCTTCCATGGCACTCCGGCTGGAACAAGAGACCGCATTAAACTCGACCAGCAGCAGGTTTGTCCTCTCGCAGATCCGGAGCTGCCTGGCATCTCGCAGGCTGAAGCGTTTGAACATGGCCCCGGTTGCTGGGACATCTAGCAGCCCCCAGAGCCTGTGGCAGCCCCGACAGAGGAATCCTGGGGTGCGTCCACCCGCACACCCCGTGCAGCGCAGGGCGGGCGAGTTCCTCGCACAGGGGGGACGCTGAGGGCTGCCAGCAGCGCACTGTCAGGTGAGGGTCACTCAGCCCTGATGGACAAGCGGCCCCAAGCGAAGCCCGAGGAGCAGAGGGGGGAGAGACGGAGAGGAAGAGAGAAGGGAGAGAAAGAAAGAGACTCGTGGAAATACACACATGCATAATGCAAAGGCACATCAGCCAAGCAGCTACGCCCACTGAGACTCTCTCACATTGCTACACACTGTTCCGAACATAGAGACCACACAGACGCACATGCACGCGCGCACACGGCACCTCTGCCACCACAAGCTGCCGCGGGAATTGTTACACGGCAACAGGCACGCACGATGCAGCCCTGTGCAAGGACAAGCACACTGCACACACCAGTGCTGCACTCTCCCCGGCTTTATGCACCGAACATGCATGTGTGGCTGCCAGGCATTGCCACGTGCCCGGTCCCGGTCCCAGTCCCGGTCCCGGTCCCGCCTCGCCTCCTTCCCATGGCTCACACAAAACCCGCTTGCGCCCAGCAGTAACTGATGCTCAGGATGAGGCCCGAGGGTTTTCGTGGGGTGGGGTGGGGCCATGCCTGTGTGGAGCTGGCACAGGGGTCCAAGTGCTGGACTGGGGACCCAGGAGGTCCAGGTGCTGGTCCCCACTTGGTCATGCAGCTTACCGGGTGACTTGATCCAACTACTCGCTCTCAGCCTAAATTAACCGACCTCACAGGGTTGTTGTGAGGATCAAGGGGAGCTACTGTATGTGGGCCACCTAGGGCTTCTCACAAGGGGGAAAAAGATGGGGTGCAAATGCAAATGCAATACATTGCTGCTATCACCATCCTCTGCATTTTTATCCTGCCCAGTAGCAGATGCTTCCAGGGTGACTGGCAACAGGCAATTCTCTCAGGCATTTTAACAGGTTGTTTTGTAACCAGCAGGAAAGAAATTGTATTTTAAACACAAGAAAGGCAATTTTTTACACTCCTGCTTTTAATTTTAATTGATTTAGTGTTGTTTTACATTTGATTGTGTTTTAATTTGCATTGTAAGCACCTGGGGATAAATAATTAGGAAGGGTGCGATATAAATGCCTTATATGACATGTGCGCGTGCGTGTACACCTGTGCTCTGGATCCACTGAAGGTGCAGTTCCCTGTTAAGTCAAAATACCTCAGAACGATCAATAGATTAACAGCAGAGCACTTTCAAAATATATGGAGAGCTAAAAGTGTTGGCTTCCATCCTCATCAGCTGCTGTGGTGTTCGGTCAGTGGCAGGAGTGGCTGATAGGAGGCGAGAACTCCTCAGGAGGGAGGGAGGGAGAGTGCGTGTGAGTCTCTGTGTGTGCGCTGCGCTCACAAGGGGCCACAAGGGGACCACAGCTTCCCTGCTCCTCTTGCACACTCAGTGTCTCACCACACTGCTGTGTGCCACAGGGCTGCCCAGAGGCGGGCGTGTGTCTTCTGCCACACTCGACTTCCTGTCCGGACTTGGCTACCCCAGTCTTGTGTCTGTCAAGCCAGGGGGAGTGATCTGTGGGCCTTCCAATGTTTTGGCCGGCAACTGCCAGCCGCCCTAGCCAGCACCGCTGATGGTGAGGGACGATGGGAGTTGTATGCCAGAACATCCGGAGGGCCACACATTGCCCACCTTGGCATTGCAGCCTGCTTCCAGTGACACCCTGCAAAGGGGACTGAGCAGCAAAGCACACGCCCAGCCAATGGACGGTCCCAAGGACAGGCCCTGGCACGTCTCAGTAGGGGGGCAAGAGCCTGACTGAAACCCTGGAGAGCCATTGCTGCCGGCCAGAGCTGGCGATGCTGGACCAGCTGGACCCAAGGCCTGACTCAGCATGGCTGTAGGTCTGGCTCGGCAAGAGGGCACATGTTGGGATTATCATTAAAATGCAGCAAGCTGCTAATTATTTACTTGATTTTTACATATTCAACCACCACTCGGATCTTCTGCCTCAGGCACCAAAACATCTCACACCGTCCCAGGTTAGTGGGGTCCAACAGTGAAAACTTCTGCTCCACGTGCCAACCCCTGCAGGAAGGGGACGAGGTGCCCGGTGTCTCGGAGGGGTAAGCGTGGAGGGCAGATTGCCTGCACGGCAGACCTTTGGCAGAGCTGGCACTGCCAGCCACTGCAGAGTCCCCTGCTTAGCTCTGCTGTTGGTGGCTCTTCACCTGCCCTTCTGGAGGGAGCAAGACGAAAGAGCAGCAAGCACAGCTTGCCTTGGCCTGCCTCGCAGCCCTCTTCCCCCACGCCCCGTGCTGGGAGGCATGCTGCTTGCCCTCAGGGGGACAACCAGCGAACGGGCCACAAGGGAGAGGACCCCACGGACAGTCTCTGGCCCAGGGGCCCTCCGAACCCACCACAGGGCTCCACAGTACAGCGGGGACAGTTCGGGTGCATACACCATCCCCTCTCGCTGCAACACGAGAAGGTGAACTTGCCCACGCTGAATCCTGCTCATTAAGGAAGCCCAAGAGCCTCCAGTGCAGACTGGGAGGGGGTTTAATAGGGCTGAGGGGGGCAGGAGGCAGGGGCAGGGGTGAGCCCCCTCCTTGTCTGCATCCATAGCTCGGGCAGGCGCTGCAGGTTCCCGGCAGCCCGGACTTGCATTCATGCCAGCGGAGCCCAGTATTTTTGCTCTCCCGTCCCCCACACCGCAATATTAAAGGAAGCTGCTTTCACCCCTCACCCCACCCCGGGTGAATGCAGTCCCTCCCTCTCCCCCATCCAAGTTTCCCAGTAAATGAGAGAGTTCGGTACAACTCCCACGCCAGCTCCAAGTGAAACCTAGCAACTGAGCGCCAGCATGGCAACTGCATTGGCAACGGATGGCAACAATGGGGGTGGCTCGCGGAGCTGCCAGCGACACAGCCCCATTTATTACTGGGTGTGGGGAGAGGAGGCTCTGCCGCCGTTTGCTCACATCCCGGGGCTCTGCCAGCAGCCCCAGCCCAGGCAGCAAAGGGCCAGGGGCTGAGAGCAAGAGGGGAAAGGTCCAAGCTGATATACAGTGAGGCATCTGACCAGTTAGATTTAGCACTTTAAAATAGCTGCTCCTGTACCTTTAACAGCATCCTGACTGCCAAGACCAAGCCAGGGTTAAGTTTTTCCTAAGGAAGGGGCTCAGCAGCTAAATTTTTGTGGATCAGGCTGTTGTTGGAAGGGCAAGAGCAGGGCTGATAAGGAAAGGGCATGGTCTGAGGCAGCCCCCTTGCTGGAGCTAAGCTGGTATGGGTCTGGTCAGTGAGTGCTTGGTGGGGCGATCAGACGGTGATCCCATGTAGCCACCTTGAGTGGCAAGATGACAGACGCACGCACGCACGCACACACACGCATGTGCGCACATGCACACAAACACCCAACTCTTCTGACTTCAAGATACGAAGACACCTGTGAGCTAGCAGATGATGAATATATAGCTGGCTTATAACTCTGCCAAGAATGTCTGCCCAGACTAGCCTGGAGCAGGGCACAAATCCCCAGCATGTATTGCATGCTTCCATCTTATTCCCACATCCGGGATGTGCTTCTGCACTAAGCCTTACAAACTTTCCAAAATCTGATACAGGAAAGTGCACCGACTAGTTTTTGCTAGAGGAAACCCTCTTCATATGAAAGCAAGCACTCCAAAGGAGTGAGCAGCTGCAGCTCCTGCATGGGACCTGGTGACATGCCCCATCCAAAAATATTTGAACTATGAATTGCAAGCTGTAACATTTTTCGTTTTCCAAGCAACCATATCTTCACACACATATGGGGGGAGGGAGGGGAGGAGAGAGTCAGGCAAAAAAAAGTGCATTTTCATTGCCACACAAAATGGCCCACACACCATGAACTGTTTTTAAGAATCAGTAGATTATTTGTAAGCGAGTCAGTCCTGAAGCAGATACAGTGTTTTTGCAGCCCCATGAACTTCAGTAGTACATACAAATTTTGTGAAATCCAATAATCTAACCACACTGATAATTGCTTGAAAATGGAGCGTGCCGATTTGGTTTTTAAATCCTCCATTCATAACCAGTTGCAAAAATACAAGCATTTAGCAGGCAAGCGGTGCCCATACTAACTGCTTGTACAATGAATAATTTGCAGATCACATCCAACAACGAAGCTCAGACACAGAGGGCCCAGGTGATTAATACGGAGCATCTCATCCCAATAGCACCCCTTTCCTTTCATGAACCCCATCCAGCAAAGTGAGCCTGGGGCAAGAACTGCACCTGGGCAGCACCACAGCAATCATGTCCTGTACTTATTACTGGCAGCTTTGCAACAGTGCTGCAAAATGCTACCTTGTCTCACACAAGATCACAATGCATGAATCCAGTCAGCCCTGAATCAGCTCCCAGGTCCACTGCCTTTGCCTACGGACACTGCTGGTGTTGCCCAAGACAGCTCAACATCCGTGTCCCAGGGATCCTTAGACCTTACCTGCCACATAAGCCGGCCCTGCTGTGTCCTTTATCGGCTTCTGACACAGAGCAGTCAAAGCCAAAATCATTCCAGCCTTAGCCTTCCTCCCCTGCTCATGCTACTCCCACCCTGCAGGGAATGTGCTGTCTCAACAACTGAGAGGGTGAGTGGGGTGGGGGGTCAAGACTAGAAGGAGCTGCATGACCTTTAGAACGAGAGTTGGAATTGCAGTGCACATCTCTGCTGGAAGGCTGCCCCCCCACAGTAGATCTCCCCAAATGTCTATGCAGAAATGGAGCAGGGTGCCTTTATGTTTAGGTTGCCTTTAAGGGCAAAATCCTCTCAGGCAACTCAGTGGGTGTGGCAGACCCCCCCCCCCCCCGTGACCCAGATCACCTTGTCGGTCCCCACTGGTTGCCCAGGCCGCACCAAATGCGCACAGAAGAATACAGTGTGCCTGACATGAAGGTGTGGATGGACTGCCCCAAGTCCTGCCAGGGGCTTCAGGCCAGAGCCTTCCCTAGGTCCCCAGGAAGCTTTCTTGTCACACAGGCTAGCTTCAGGCGGGGAAGAGAATTACAGGAAAGGAGACTCTGCTGCCTGAAGCGCCGGGTATGTGGGGGCCCGAGCAGAGGGACAGGATCCAAACTCTCCATGGCAACCTGCCCTCGTAACTGCATTCATCATGGAATCATAGAAGAGTAGGGTTGGAAGGGGCCATGAAGGCCATCAGGTCCAGCCCCCGCTGTTGCAGGACATCACGTTACACCATCCCATCAGGTGGCTGCCCAGTTTCTTTCTGAATGTCTCCAGTGAGGGAGAGGTGACCACTAATGACAACACATGAAGCCCCATCCTCTTTCCAGAGCCAGAGGTTCAAAGACAGCCACCCAGGATTTTTTCCAGCCTCTTCCCATGCCTAGGAAACCCACCCAGAACTGGAGTGCCCCACTGGGCACTCCCACACCGTTTCCTCATTACCTTCACTCCTTGCTGCTCTGGCCTGCTCTGCGGTGGAGCATCCCGTTCCTGACTGGCTGCCTCATCCCAATTGCAGGCTCCCTCTGGCTTGCAGGAGCTGCCATCACCACACATGGCTCCTAGCTGGGTGCCTGAGGGATTTCCGCCTCTTTAAAAGGCACAAGCAGAACAAACAGGGATTTGGTGTCTGGGCGGTGATGCTTGGGTCAGCACATTCCCGGCCTGGAGGGCAACGGTAAGGGAGCCGTGAGCGGCACACAGGCAGAGGTGCAGGCCTTGGAGTGATGGACAGGACAAGAGGAGTACCTTTGGCACGAGAAGTGGCTCGGAAGGTGAATGAAGATAGGGTGGCACCTCTCAAAGAGAAGGCCGAGGGTCCCCAAAATGACAAGTCACAGCCCCGCTGAATTGAATCAACCCAGCCTTTGTAGGGTGTAATATACTATTAGCAATTTGACCCGGCTATTCAATGCACAACACAGTCCCTTCTTTGTATGGCACAGAATGGGGCATAACTGAAAGTTAGCAAGCACATGAACTGTTCAGTTGTACTTTTCTGGGTTGTTCAAATTTTGCATTTTCATGTACCTCTGAAGAGCAGTCTAGGGGTGGAATTCAATGTTGCGCAGTGTGTGACAGAATTTCCGCTTCTGCCCCTCCACCCCTTCCACACAAATTCCCTCCAGAGAAGGCGAGTGTGCATGAGCATGTACACACACGCGTGCATGCATTAATGCAACAGTGACACCTGAAATACAGGTAATCTACATTGGACCTGATGTAGTTGCGTAAAACTGGTTTTCACACTCTTCAAAGAATCTTTTCCAATCTGTTTTCTGCATTATATCAAGATGATGAATACCCCAAACTGGGGGTTCCTTTGACCAGGGAATAGCTCTCACCTCTTGAAGGAAGCCCTCCCCTCTTCCCACATTTGCTTGGCAAGGCTCATTTCACTCTTAAGACAACACAAGCTGAAACGTGACATTTTGAATTTATTAAGTACAGAATCTCAAGAAAACAACAGTTGACACCACACAGGGGAAAGGGCCTTCAGGAGGATCCCTTGCATGGACCTGAATTTAAAAAACACACACCCTCTCTCTCTTCCAAGTCTGAGGTGAGGTGGGGCATGGAGACCCAGCCCCAAAAAGCAGGAACTGTGGACGGAGAATTCAAGATAGGAAATACAGCTTTATAAAAATACATGATGCATCATTTACGTGGGATTGTAGGAATGTGCAAAAGAGGCGAGATTTATGGCAGGAAAGACTCTTGCAGTGTGTGGGGTGGGGTTACACTTCGGCCTCTGGGTTGCGGAGGGAGAAGAACTAGGTGCTGGTTCTTAGAAACGCCCCTTTCTCTCTGTCTCAAAGGTGACAGTGCATCTAAAGGCAAGCTCCCTCTTCTAGCAGGGCACAGGCAAAAGGCTGGCTGCAGTCCTTCCACTAAGCTGGTTGGCAGGACTGAAGCAAGGTACTCAGGCCAGGGAGAGAGGGAACCAATGTGCCTCCCCCTACACAGAACAGGAATTCAAATGCCCTGGTCAGCTGGTCACTGTCCCATTGTCACTGCCCCTCTTCCGCTCTGGCCTGGGAAAAGATCTGCCAGTTCTGGGAAGGGATCTTACAGAATGGAGTTGGATTCTGCTGCTGGGAGATGCAGAGCAGGGCAGCAGGTGGGAACTCCAGGACAGGCAAGATACACACCAGGGGGACTGGGAAGGAAAGGATATGGCTTGAGGGAAGCTGCAAGTGGCACTAGGTGGTGGTTCTCACCCTCTCACACGCTTCCTTTTACGTGCACAAGGCATGCAAAGCTGTAGAGTGTGCAAGCACACAAGTCACCCAACTGGAGAGTTGCGAGGTGCCTCTTCCTTGGTTTCAACATGCTGGATGCCGCTCAGAGGTCGTTCCCAGAGCTGCATCTCTCTGGGGAGGTCTCCGTTTTGGTTTTGGGATTGCCGTGTGGCTCCTTCCACACACATTTATTTCACATTCTGTCGGGAGGCCTGTCCCCGATTCCCACCCCCTCAGTTCCCACAGACCGTTGGCCTGATCCAGCATGGCTTTCCTTCTGCTCACCCAAGGGTGGCCTGTGTGACCCAGCAGAGACTGCACCCTGAGGACTAAGCCAACCTGCCTAGAGCTGAGTGACAGCAGGCCCTGGGGCTCCTTCGCAGCTGAAATGGTGGAGGAGGTGGTCATGTACGGCCTGGTTTGGCGGGAGACACCAGGATAATTTGTCCCGGGGGATTGGCATGTAACTGGGCTGCACAGCCTCTTTCATGCTGCAACTGTTTGGGCAAGAGAGCAATGCAGGAAAGGTAGCTGTGCTAAATTTTGGGCCCATGACAGGAGGTTCAGCCCTCCTGCAATCCAGGCCTCTGGCCGCCAGGTAAGACCAAGGCTTGCAGAATATCCGAGAGAGAGATGATGCCCTTCACCACCTCGCTTTCATCCACCACCACCAGCCGATGAACCTGTTGATTACAGAAAAGGGTTGTGATGGTTTGTTCTACACCACGGAGGTTCAGTGATGATCGATACACCAGGGTATCACTATCCCCCGTTTGCATGAAAGAAAAACTCACCCAACCCCAACCCTTCACAGATACTTTCTGGCCATTCTTAAGCCTCTCGTTTCTCCATAGAAACAAGGATTCCACCCACCAGAGATGGCAACCATGCTAGTGGGGCACAGTTACTTAAGGGACAAGTCAAAGGCATCCAGGACTGCCAGGACCTGAGACTGCCCATCAGTCTGAATAAGGAGTCTATACAGTTGTATTACGGAAGGCTGAGTGCCAACGGATTGAGGCCTTTGAATTGTGGTGCTGGCAGAGACTCCTGCAAGTCCCTTGGACCGCAAGGCGATCAAACCAGTCAGTCCTAGAGGAGATCAACCCTGACTGCTCTTTAGAAGGCCAGATACTGAAAATGAAACTCAAATACTTTGGCCACCTAATGAGAAGGAAGGACTCCCTGGAGAAGAGCCCAGTGCTGGGAACAATAGATGGCAAAAGAAGAAGGGACGGCAGAGGATGAGGTGGCTAGATGAGTCACAGAAGCAGTCAGCGTGAGCTTGAGTGGACTCTGGGGGATGGTGGAGGACAGGAAGGCCTGGAGGAATGTTGTCCATGGGGTCGCGATGGGTCGGACACGACTTCGGGACTAACAACAACAACACAGTTGTATTCCACCACCCAATAAAAGCAGCTCTGTCACGGAAAGGGCAAGGAAGCCAATCAGGACGGTGAGAGATCAGACACAGGGCAGCATGCTAGGGTTGCTGTGTGTGTCGGCAGTGCCACTTTACTGCTGCAACTACTGCAAAGGCAAGCCCTGACTGCTGCAGGACTTGCAGCGCGCCAGTGAAAGCTAGCCGCTACTGTTCTGGGAACTTCAAGTAAACCCAGAGTCAGCTGAAACAGGACATGTTATGAGAGAACTACCGAGGGCCAGTATGTTTATTAGCACTAATGCAGGATTAGAACATACAGGAAGCTAGAAATGTATCCCAGTGCAGAATGTTTGGGTTGATATTGGCAAACACAGATATGCTCTTGGCTTTCATTACAAATGTGCTGCCTTTAATCTAAATATAATTGAAGTGTGTGAGGAAGGAACTTCCATATTCCCCCATTTCAGCACATGCAGGGCTTGCTTCCCACCTGAGTGCCAGCTGAACACTGAAGTGGCCCAGAAGCCCCACGTTAAAACCAGGCCTGGAGAACTGCTCAGGCATCAGGCAGTTCTAGTGAGCAGGCTTCGGAGTGTGCGCACCACTGTTCAGCTGGTGCAAATCCCCACCCCCCACCTGTAGCATTTCCAAGGGAGCATACATTTAAGTGCCTATTCAATGTTCAAATGTTATATTTGTCAGTTTCAACTTTGCCAGTTCCTGGGGAAAAACCACCCCCAAGAAAGCATGTCAGCATCGTACCTCAGCAGCCCCCCTCAGCCTGTCGTGCCCCTGCAGTCCCCATGCAGGCATGTGTGGCCTTCCGCACCCAGGGGGACTGCAACTCCCCTCAGTCCTAACCAGCACAGTGAATGGGAAGGGGTGCTGGGGGCTGCAACCCAACGCCATCTGGAGGGTCCTTCATTCTCCTCCCCCCCGCCCCCCCGAGGGGAAAGAGCAGCAGTTAGAGAGGAGGGGAACAAATACCTCTGCCTCCACCAGCCGGCTGATAATCGTCTCCAGCGTCTCGTGCTTGTAACACTTCAGCACGCCCTCGAAGTATTGGGACCGATGCTGCAGTGCCTTGGTCACGGTCACATCCAGGTTGTTGTACGTTTTCTCTGCTGCCAGGTTCTGGTCACGGGGGGACAAGGAGGTAAGAAAGCCTGGTGGCATGGCTGGCCCTCCCTGGTCCCAGTGCCAGTCCTCCCAACGCCCTGGGCAGCAAGTGGGACAATAGGCTTGGGCTAATCTGCTAAGCACAAACCCTTCCGGGCTGTCCACAGCAGGGACAGGGAAGATGCCGCCCACTGAGGGTTTGCACCTGCTCCTCCGGGGCTTCCCATTCCGCAAGCTCAGATCCCAGAGGAGAGGATATGCCCTTCTCAACCCCGGTCAGATCCTAAGCAAACTCTTGTCGGCTGGGTGTTATCGGGGTGCAAGCCCAAGCCACTCAACACCTCCTCTCTGCAGCAAGGAGGAACTCGAGAAGGACAGAGGGTCCCTGGCCCTGTTTTTCCTCTGGCTAAAGCAACGCCAGTCTTGCTGGGGATCCAGGCTTCTGTGTTCAGTGTCTTAGTACCTGCCCTTCAGAAATGTGTTCTCTCAGGCTAGCTCACATGGTTTTCACTTCCATCGTTTCTATCCACAAGAACTGCTGTAACACAGCGGTTCAGAAACAAGGAGGTTCCACAGGTTCTAGTTTTAGCTCAGCCAATCCACTGGGCCACAAAGTGCTTGCCACACATGTAAGTTTCCTAAGTTTTTTGTGGATTAAAATAAATGTGCATTTAATTAACTAGACGTATATCCTACCTTTTTCTTTAAAAAGAAGTCAAGGCGGCTTACTTCATTCACTTCCTCCTGCTCTCAGTTCTGTCCCCACAACAAGAATCCTGTTGTGGGCTGAGCTGAGAGTCTGTGCCTGGCTCTAAGTTACCCAGTGGGCTCCATGGCTGAGCAGGAACTAAAACGCCAGTTCCACACTCTTAACAACTACATCACACTGGCTCCCTATCTATAATTATCGCTCTCATATTAGCAAGGTCACTTATGCAGAGTCATTACATTTCTATAAAATACACTGCACGCATTCGCAAGATTTTAGTTTCTATGGCATCAATTTCTTTTTAATGCTCTGGAGAAGCAGCAATCAGAATGACCAGTCCAAGTAAAGTCTTGAGGGATAAGCCAAGAGGGGGCTTGAGTGAGTCAGACAGCCCACAGGCAAAGCTGCCTTTACTTCCACAACGCAGTGGGTAATGCATTATAGAAGATGGAAGACATACTCACAATGACATCAAACTTGGAGTAAATATCCACGACCCGGCCTGAAAGAGACAGACAGGACTTTGTGAGACAGTGGTGACGATCTGCTCACTTCCCCACCCCAAGACCAGCAACAGTTGTTGGCTGGAAGGAAGAAAGACAGGCTGATAAATGCAGCAGCTGTACTAGCTCGTGCAATCCGAGGGCAACACATTGCAAGCAGGAAGTGGATGCGCTGCCGAAAGTGACTTATGGGATTAACGGATCTCGGTGGTTCTCACAAGTGCACCCGCTTTCCTCTATGGAGGAATGTGGTGACACGAAAAACACACCTGGGGCCACTTGGCAAGAATAGAAAGTCCTTTCTGTCCTGTGGCAGAGGGCTATTTAAGTCCATTTACTACTTATTACCACCACTATTCCAAAAGTAGGTGTCACGAAAAGTTCTCAGCTAGATCAGCCGAAAGCAAACACCCCACAATGATACATTTTTAAAACGTAAGAAGAGCCCGGCTGGATCAGAACAGGGGCCAGCTAGCCCAGAATTTGGTTCACACGGTGGGCAGCCAGCTGCCCCCAGAAGCGCACACGCAGGATGCGAGTGCAACGCCGCCCTCCCACCCAAGCTGCCCTGCAACTGGCACACACAGGAGAGAACGGCAGTACCATGAGCTTAAAAAAATCACAAAGCTTCCACAGATACCAGAAAAGTGGCACTGAGATTTAGAACACTGCTTCCTGACCCCAGCAAAGCCTGATGGAATAAGGAGGTTTTCACACACTTAAGTAAATAAATGAGACACCCGGACCTGATTCAGGTGTTTCATTTAGTGCACAGGTATGCTCACAGGATAAATGTGTGAGCACTGCAGACTCCAAACAATCTCAGAAGAAAGTTATCACACATGCAGAGAAGGGTGGAAAGATTCCCTTCCTGACGCAGAAGGCCCGCAAAGGCCCTGGAACAGAAAATGCAGTGAGAACCATCATACCTTGCTCATGCTGATGTTTCACAGGGGTGGGTCTCCAGTACAGTACATCTACAGATGAACAAGGACTCACTGAACCCTGACTTTCTGAAAGGATTTTCTGCATTTGCTCCCCAGAACTGTCCCTCACCTGAATCATCCACCACAGGCAGTGCAGAGACCCGATGTTGTACAAAGATGCCCAACGCAACATAGATCGGGGTGTTGGTGTGGACCATTGCGATGTTTTCGTAGGTGCCAATCTTCAACTCCTCCAGGGTTTTAGACATGAATTCCGGCTTGGGGAACTCTGCAATCTACAGGAGAACAAGGGGTATTCCTAAGGCCAGTTGGGCCTCGACAGGGAAAAGGGACAAGATGGCATCTCGTGGTGACGCCAGAGTGCTCCAGTGAAGAGCGATGGGGATGAAATTCCGAGCGATGCCAGAGAGGGAGGAACACGTGGGCCTGGGTTGGGAGGCACTCACAAAGAGCTTGAGGAACTTGAGGATGCGCTTGTGTGTCAGGATGTAGAGCGTGTTTCCTGTGTTGGGGTCAATGACAGGCAGCCGGTGGATCTTGTTCCGGATCAAAGAGGAGACAGCATCAAACAGACTGGAAATCACAAGAGGGGTTGGGGGAAGCACATCACAGCCAAGAAGCAACCAGGTCACTCAGAGCCCCGAAGCCTCTCAAGAGTCTCCATGTGGGATGTGTAAAGTTCACAGCAGGGATGGTGCGAGGCTTCCCAGATCTGACTTCACGTCTGGGAGAATGCTGGGAGCAGGGAATGCTGGGATCAGCTCTACCTAACGTACAACCCAAGGAGTCGGGACAGGCAATAATCAGTTGCACGTTTGGGTAAAAAAGTTGCTACTTCATGCACGACCACACAACTGCATAGTTGTGCACAACAAATTATTCCAGTAACAACTGGAAAGGAGGTTAGTTGGGACCCAAGAACCTCACAGAACTCCTCCCCACTTACGTGCCCAGCCCAGCCTTCAGGTCAACTGCAGGGGCTCTTCTCTGTACATCCCTCTTTGTGAGGCTTCAAGCACGGCCTAGAGAGAGGGCCCTTTTGTGGTGCTTCCACCCTCCGAGTATGGAATACTCTCCCAGGGAAGTTCTTGTTGGGGCCAGGCTAAGACTTCTTCATCCTCCCAGGTCTTTCTCAATATCTGCTTTAATCCCTATAGTATTTTGGTGGCTTAGCTTCTCTGTTGCTTGAAGCACTTGTATTTGCATCGCATTTTATTCTGCTGGCTTTTGCCCAGCTACTTTGCAGAGTGTGTGTTTGTGCTGTTTTATGTTGGCATCTGATGATTTCTTTTAGATTTTCAATAGATTCTACTAGATTCTGTTTTTTTAAAGCTCATCAGATGGTTAAGGAATTCATATGATAAATGTCACATAAGTACAAGCAAGAAAATGAACAACCGTATTGCTTGTGTCGTCACTCATAAGTGTCTTAAGTGGCTTAAAAAAGAAATGAACAAAAGCAGTATTGTCAGGGGCTGCTCAAATTTCCAGGCAGTGGGGGAGGAATTTATTTTGCCACACAAATCTATCTCTTGATAGGTTTGTGACGTTTCATATTAAGATGATGCACTGAGGGTTTCGTTCTTCGGGAGCAGAGCTGTGGCTCTGCATATACAATCCAAAAGAGAGATATTACATTGAGTATAAACTCTGCTTTGCAGGTAGATAACAGTTTTCCTTTACCCTGTTCTTTAACTGAGGTAAATATCTCGGCTGAGATTTGGTGGGGTATCCAGAGGGCAGATAAAATGGTTTCAGCAGTTCCAATGCAACCTGCAGGGAACCAGCTGCCCATTCTGGACCACATGCAAGTCTCTCCCTCAGCCTCTCATTCCCATCTGTGAAGCAGAAGTAACAGCTGCCTTTCTTTGACAGGCTGTGTTGCAAGTGAGGGAAACTCTACCAAAGCATGTCCATTTGATATTTTTGCAATGTATCTCTCTGCAAATCTATATAAAATTTTACAGTAGGGGTACAGAACTCCTTTGGGAGGCCAGGCTTCCTCATTATGCTTTAGACAGGTAGTGAAGCCTGTACAATTCCACTGAATTTGTCATGGCTGTTCATTTTTATTTCTCCTTTATTGTGTGACTGCTCTGGCTCCTGCTTGTTATTGTTCTGTTGCATCTATTTTATTCTGGTTTTATTATAGCTTTGATAGCAATCTGTACACCCGGTGTGCAGTGAGACAAATTCTCAATATGGCAAATGAATAACAGGAGAATTTGCACATTATGATCCAACAGACTCACAAATGCTGCCTGATCTCTCCGACACAGGCCTTGGGCTTCTTTAGCATGATGCACGAACCCCGACCTCTCCCTTGCCTCTCTGCTGACAAGCATGGGTAACAGCCCAGCAGTAGCAACAGGCCAGCGTGTATGAGGCCAGCAAAAGCCTCCAAAAGCCTGGCTTATTGTCATCTGTGAACCAAGTCTATGTGTGCTCATACAGCCTTGTTTGCAAGGGACAAATTATTTAGGTTTCAAAGTACTTTGTGTCAAGAAATGCAGTAGAAAAAGTGCATGGAGGTGGGGTTGGGGAGCTGTAGGGCAAAGATTAATGGCACAGAAACTAGGGAAGAACTAACTGTGCAGTCACTTACACTCACCCCCCCGCCCCGCCCCCCACATTGACTAGCTTTCTCTTTCTTTTGCGAGCCGAGAGAGCAAGAAATATGGCTAATGGAGAAAGCCAAGACTTTCAGGTTACAGTGTCTGGATATCACAGGGATACATACACTACACACAGCCCTGAACACATGACCTTCTGGACATGGCCGCTGGGGCTCCTGGCCTGAGCAGCTCGGAGGGGCCGGAGGGAGAAAGGAGGCTGGATGGGACGGTGCCCAGGCCACCCTGGTACAAAATCATTGCACCACAGCTGCCTAATCATTGTAGCGCAGCCTTCCCCTCCAGTTACGTTGGTTTGCAACTCCCACCAGTCCTGGCTAGCATGAGGATGCTAGGGCTTGCAGTCCAACACATCTGGCAGGCACCAAACAGGAGAAGGCTGCTACAGGGGCAAGAGATCACTGAAGAACTGGCTGAGCCAGTGAGAGCTTCATAGGGGCAAAGGAGGCAGGTGCCGGATGGGAAACTGGGCAGGAAGCAGGACCTCAGCAACGCTCCAGCAATGCACACACACACACACACACACACACACAGCCCCCTCCTGGCAGGGCCTCCTACCTGGCACTCGGGGAAATGCAGACCAGCGGCTTGAAGGAGTCTTGCAGGTAGACTTCTGTGTGGGATACAAAGACTTAGTTATCCAGTTGGACCCATGCGGGGAAGAGAGGAGAGCGCAGAGCTAGGGTGATGGGGAGGCTGCAGCTCCTCCTGCTGGCCGGGCAGAAGACGCAACAGCTGAGTGTGCAAATAGACAGCAGAAAGGGGAAGCCCTTAGCCCGGTGCAGCCGCTGTTTCCCCTCCGCAGCCCTCTTCATCATTGACCGGAAACACCCAGTGGCTTCTCCCAGTTTTGGCTCACAGGAAGCACCCTGAGCTCGCTCCACCCCAACACCATCACGCTTCTCTTTACCTCGCCACGTCTCAATCTTGTGCTCCTCCAGCTCATAGATCTGCACCTAGGCACAGAGGTGACAGGGCAGGGGGTCAACATCACAGAAGCCACTGCCTCCCCCACCCCCACCCCTGTGGCTCGCGCGCTCGCTCGCTCGCTCTGGCAACTCCGGGTAGGATCTCTTCCCGTGCGCCTGACAGGTATCACCCCAGAAATGGCGGGGCGCGAGCCATTCAACTAGTGCTCTGGGTTCCAGAGGCTGGACTGAGCCTCTGTAAAATGGAACAGTGGGCGTGGAAGGCACACGCATCTCCCTGATCTCCCAGATCACCAAATAAACTAGCACTCCTAAATTACTTAAAGCCCAAATGAAACCTTCACTCTCCCAGCTGCATATTTTTCTGATATATTTTTAACTTTTCTTCTACAAGTCAAGGCTAGAAAACTTGCTCTCCAAAAAGCCAGACTGTCAAGGTACCATGGCAACTCACAGGCCGGCATGCGAAGCTGCCCTCCAGTCACCACTGTGCAAGTCTTTAGGCACAACAGAAACGGAAGGGGATACAGTGCTCCAAGCGGACTCACCATGGCTGATTTGTAGTAGCGATGCAGGATGTTGATGAAGTCTGTGATTGTGAGCATTCCTAAGGGATGTTGGGAATGAAAAAGGCAATTATTACTGGTGTGCTTTCCAGGGTCGGGGCTGCACCAGCTCCTCAGATGAGGACTGTGACGGCTGAGAAAGGGAAATGCGGGAATCAAGATGCCGGAGGAGAAGGTTATCTCAAGGCTGCTATCTCCAGGTGCTCAGGCAGACCATGGGAATAAACAGGGTTTGGAAGTGAAGGGAGAGGAGAAAGAGTAGCCTGGTCCGGTCCCTGTCCCCATGCCATGGCACTGGGCTAGAAGGGTGACCCAATTAGAGGGCCTACATAGATATAGGAGGCTAGCCCTTCTGGAGAGGGTAGAGCCCAGAGTTACTGAAAAAGAGGCTTTTCAGAAGTAGTTTCCAGTTTGGGTTCAACAAATCACTTTGTTCATGCACAGAGACTTGTCTTCTTATGACTCCAGTGTGTTGTGACTTGGAAAGAAACAGCTGTTTCCCAAAGAGGCAGTCTGCTGCTTGAAACAAAGACCCATCTTTCAACACGGGGCAAAGAAGAGGCGGAAAGGGCTCAGTCCCAGCCAATGGGCAACTGGGAAGAGGTGGGGAGAGAACTCAAGAAGAGCAGACCCTTACCCACAAAGCTTTGTGTCTTGCTGTCCCAGAGCGGGGCAGCCCGCACACCATTGGTCACCAGTGCAAAGAAGGCTTTCTTTACCTGCAAGTCAGGAAACAAAAGACATGCACACAGTGGGGTCACAATGCAATCCAACGCAGTTCTTTTAGTTCAGCATCTGGGTAACATGCTTCCAATTCCTTTGCTTATTGAGAAAAGAGGTAAAAGAAAGAGCAGGAGCACTGATGCCTCTTCCAAGAATTGCAAAGGGAGAGCCATGTTCACAAAAGCCACCAAGCCACCTTTGACACTACCACTGTTACTGTAGCACAAGCCTTTGAGAAACCAGGACCTGTTTTGTCAGATGCCAAAAGGCTGTGAAATGGGAACACAGCAGCAGTTCATTCACTAATAAGCAGAGTACAAAAGTAAACATGAACTATAATGACTGCCTACTGTTTTGGATGGGTTACTCACATTGTATCAGGAATATATTTGAGTGCTAACTGAACTCATGGCGTTTGGCACTACCTTATTCCAGTTCAGGGGCCACTACTATTTTCTAACCAAACAGATGCAAACGAACGCACAATAATCAGATGGACTAATATACTAGAAGGGTGTGCACACATGCAAGCACATGAATGTATGGAGAAAGTCGGGAAGAGAGGCGAGGGGGGAGGGAGGGAGAAGCATCCTTAGCATCAAAGCATTTCCAGTGATTTCCACGAATTGACATCTACGGCAGAAGCCACATATCTCTGGATTGGGTACCTTCACAACACCTCCCCTCAGTTTGAGCTGGAACGGCTATGAAAGCTTTACCAGCAGAGTGCTGTGCAAACTCGTCACAGTGAACGGCTGAGGCTCCCCATCGCGGTTCCAGGGCTCCAGTGGCCCCTCACCAGCTGAAGCAGCTCAGCCTGACAACACCGCGCTGATGCAACGCAAGCGAGGAAGAAGCTCTTCCCTTCTTTCACCAACACAGATCCTGATTGCGCATGCATGCTGACCTGTTGCCCCCACCGCCTTCCTAAGTGCTTCATTGTCATCAGCTCCTCCAAAAACTAAAGGCTCTTGGCTCAAGGAAGAGGGAGAACACTCTGAAGCGGTTGTGCCAACTCCCTGGGTCATCTTCCCTTTCCAAAAATCAACAAGGCCTTCAGTGGGATTGCCAGCTGTTGGAGCATTCAGAATCCTTCTGATTCCAGCAGTCCCTGGGGGTGGACTTTCTCAGTAAGCCTGCTCCTCCGGAGGTTGCATGCGCCAGTAAATCTAAACCCGGCCAGGACAAGAGAGCCCTTCCAAACTCTCCTGGCCACAGACCTCTACTGTGCTGGCCAGCAAGTGCCTGCCAGAAAGTGTGCCCAAATGGAACAGGCTTGTGCTTGGCCCGAAAGCCATAAAATCTTGGCCAAAGAGAGGACACTTTGGCACGAATACTCAAATCCGCATATTGGTCTGGATTTATTCATTCTGAGCCTTCTTTGGGGAATACTAACTACTTTCCTCCCTCTACCCTGTTTCCAACTTCCAAGAATTTAAAGACTGGAATTTTGAAACATGCTTAATTTTACCAAATTTAGCAGCTGTCACATTTTCTCAAGCTACTCCATTTTCTTGATTTTGTCTTTCAGTGTTTTGACAGTCTTCTGTGCTAGCGTTCATTTGTAAAGGAAAGGATCTTTTATGTCTGGGGGACTTTTTTAACATAATTAAGACAACGTTATAGAAGACCTGGCATCAAATGTGAGAAATTTTGTTTACCTTACTTATTCCCATCTTCCAATAACTAATTACTCCATTGTGATGCCACTACATATGGCTACCATCTAACAATGCCGAAAATTAGCATTTCCTCTGTTAGTTTTACACACTCTCTCTCCCCCCACACCCCATATGGCCATCCAGTTTAGAGAGGAAATTAAATAGTACAGTGAAGTGGAAGGTGGGTAGTTTTATCTTCCTCCTCAACACACGGGGGACAGTGCAGGGGAAACTGGCTATGGGGGAACCCACATTCAGAAACACCTTGTGTTGGTCGAGGCTCTGCAACCTTCCTTCCTTATTTATTTATAAAATTTGTATGCCGTCCAATTACTAACGTCTCTGGATGGCTAACAGCATAAATAAATTGACGACCCACTCGGGCTGCAAGTTAATAAAATACAATATTAAAACATATTAAAATATTGATTAAATAAAAAGGTCTTAACCTGGCGCCGAAAAACATATAATGATGGCGCCAGGCGGACCTCTCTGGGGAGCGCATTCCATAGTTGGGGTGCCACCGCAGAGAAGGACCTCCTCCAGGTACCCTGTCTCCTAACATCTTTCACAGAGGGTTCCCGGAGGAGGGCTTCTGTTGCCAATCTCAGGAGGCGGGAAGGCAAATAGGGAAAAAGGCGTTCCTTTAGGTATCCTTCATAGCTTCAAGAAGCCCCAGGCTAATTAAGCCTGCAGGATGCCCTGTTACAGCAGCAGAATGTCTAGCAGCTTAAAGAATCTTTAAGGAAGGCAGGGAAGGGAAGGGAAGGGAAGGGAAGGGAAGGGAAGGGAAGGGAAGGGAAGGAAAAAGAAAGGGAAGGGAAGGAAAAAGAAAGGGAAGGGAAGGGAAGGGAAGGGAAGGAAAAAGAAAAGAAAAGAAAAGAAAAGAAAAGAAAAGAAAAGAAAAGAAAAGAAAGAAAAAGTAGTTAGGGGATGTGCACTTTTTCCTGTCCCTCCCTGTGTATCTGCATGCCAAGACTGGGGCCCTACAGCTCTTCAGACATGGTTGGATTCCCACCTAACTTAGCTCCAGCCAGCATGGCCGATGGCTAGGCATGCTGGGAGCTCTTGTCCAACAACAGCTGAAGGTTCACAGGTTTTCTACTCCTGTTCTAGGCTGCTAAGGAGTCTAGTCCATTGGCAGTGTAAAAAGCCCAGGTGAGGGTTAGCTTGCATTTCAGGAATGTCGTTCAAACTGTCAAGAGGGAAGACTCTCTAACACCTTCTTGGAGTGAGGCTGGGGTGAGAGAAACTGGGTCAGTGGAGGTGTGCCTGACAGCACACATCTCCAAGAAGAGGAAGGGGGCGCTTCCCCTCTAATTCAGACCTAGGCTGCAAGGAAGGAAGCACCAAGTCACCTGCTTGCCTAACCTACCAATGGGTTCCGTGGCACCACAAGGGCAACACACATGCAAAACCTCTCTCCCCTCTGCCAGTCCTCCATTGCTTTTCCAAAGTCTTATTTTTGTACAGACCTGGAAATTACCCCAGACAGATCGAAACCTCCCTCTGGTCTGGAGATGGCCCCATTATGGTGCCCCTCTATTACGTGAAACAACGCAGAAGCCCCGCAACTGGATGTCCTCTGCCACTACCCTCCAAAGCAGGAGGCTGCCCACCTGCAGAGATGTGTCAAACACCACCAGTTTGGAGCTCGTTGGGATGAGGTCATAGCAGCGATGCGACTTCATGAAGTTACTGTAGATGCCACCGTTGGAATCCCCATCTGCTGTGGGAAGCAAATTCAAGGGCAGTATGAACAATGGTCAATATACACTTCAGACCTCAAAATGCAGGGAAGCTAAAGTAGGAAGATTATTTAAGTCGCACTGACATCTTAAAACAAGAAAGGAAGTTCCATTCATTTGAAAGTTAGAAGGGGAATTTCAAGTTCTGTTGCTTTTCCAGTCAATTATTTATTCCTTATATCACATCATCACTCCACACAGCATTTTTAAGAACAACGTAGAGTAGAGCAAGCGGAAAAGAACTCTGCCTGAGGACAGAACAGTATAGCAGCAATTTTATTATCCTTGGAAATATATACTTCGTGCTTTAAAAAAAAAAAAAAGAAATTCTGACATGTATAAACCATGGAAGTCAAGCAAACCTGCACATCTTTGTTTCCATCTTGTAGTTTATTCTCCTGCAGTTTATTCTCCTGCTTAAACCCACTGAGGAAGCTAAGGAATTATTCAGAGCACTAAAGCCTCAACCCAGCCACTGATCAACCTTCTGCTAACTTCAAAAATCTCACCAGAAAATTCCCAAAGAGTTTTGCAAGCCCTCACTGCCAAAAGGGCTAAGTTATTTGTTGAAGTGCCTGGAGGCTTAGATTTTTCAAGAAAATGGAGGTCACACTCCCAAACAAGGGACTGGGTAGAATCTGAGACCCTCTCTTGAGAAACGTTCATTGCAGAGCATAGAAGCAACCATTATAGGAAGAGTGGAACCACAGACACACAGAATTTGTGTTCTAAAGAATCACCGCAGTCTGCTGTGCCTGCTTGAAATTGCCCAGATATTCACTCTGAGAAGGATTAGGTGTAGCAGCAGCAGCTGTTAAATACGATCATCATGAGTTATCAACATAAGTTATTTATTTATTTGGAATACTTATATGCCGCCCCATTCGCAAAAGCCTCGGGGTGGCTTCCAATACAAATAAATAGCTGTACAAATACATAAAAAACTGGAAACATCCCGGCATAAATATAAAATCAATCAATAAATTCAACAATAACATTTAAATAAAAAGGTCTTGGCCTGGCGCCGAAAAACAAATAACGACGGCGCCAGGCGGACCTCTTTGGGGAGCGCATTCCATAGTCGGGGCGCCACCGCAGAGAAGGCCCTCCTCCGGGTACTCTATCTCCTAACATCTTTCACAGAGGGTTCCCGGAGGAGAGCTTCTGTTGCCAGTCTCAGGGGGCGGAAGGGTAGATAAGTTATTTCATTTCTATACTGCTTAATAGTGTGTGGGAATGAGATAGAAAGAAAACTTCAAGTTCCAATAAGATCCACGGTGTAAAAGGTAGTTAACAGTCATGTCCAGACTGAAATGGCTACACCCAGAGAAATGCCCAGGATCAAGTGCTCACAAATGCACTCACCCACTCTCCAGAAGCAAGGAATCCTGGCTCTGTGCTGCGAGAACAGTCTACAGCTTCCCACCAGCACTCACTCGCATTGTGGTTTGAGAAACTTTGCTGTTTCTTCGCATACCCAAGTCATGGCACAAGTGAGAAAAGACTGCCTGCTTCCTGAGCCCTGGGTGTTTGCCCAAGAGCTTGGGAGGGGAAGTTTTCTTTCTTTCTCTCCCCGCCCTTTAACTTGCTCTTCAGCTGAGAAGCTGAAAATTGTAAAAGCCTTTCTTGCTGTGTGTGTTTTTTTAAAGACTGTACCCCAGCTCAACTCAAAAAGAACCCTACCTCTCCTCCAAGCCCTCTCTGTATGCTCAAGAACTTGGTGAAAAGGAGGTGAAGGCAATGGAAGATCAAGGCTGGTTAATAAGCAAAGCCAATATAGACATTCCCCTGCTCAAGGGGACTGTCCTTCAGTAGAGATCCACCACTGCTTGAGGATGCCCCTGTTTGCTGCAGCTGCTGAGGAGCTGCCCAAGACCCTACCAAATTCCTGCTCGTCCTTCGCGTGTTGGGTCATTATGAATCCAGTTATTCCAGGTAAAACTGCCTTAAGACTGTGGAGACATACTGCAGACCAGATCGCTAAAACTTCAGTGCTGGTGCTCTGCCCTCTCAGCCACAGCCCAGCACAGCCACCACAGGCTATGCACCGGAGGATGCCCTCCAGAAATGCATGTGTTTTCACACTCCCTGATAGTCAGGCACAAATCACCTCTACTATGCACCCCACAAACTAGCCATTCCCCATCTTGGGTCCCTCTGATATTCCTGGAGTGCAACTCCCATCCACCCCAGCCAGTGATCTGGGATGATGAGGACCCAAGAACAGCTGACTACCCTCTACCTTACACCTTTCTGCTTGCTTCATTCCCAACAGCGCCACTCACCTTCTGACAAGGGCAGGCTTTTCTCCAACCCGCTCTCAGCAATGGTGCCCTGGAAGAGAAGAGAAGAGAAGAGAAGAGAAGAGAAGAGAAGAGAAGAGAAGAGAAGAGAAGAGAGGTTAGGGCAACAACTTGCTATAGCAAATGGTACATCCTATACCAGCTTCCCTCAACCCAATGCCTTCCAAATGCATTGGACTGCAATTCCCATCCTCCCCAGATAGGATGGAAGTGGTAGTCTAACGCATCTGGAAGGCATCAAGCTGGGCACGGTTGTTTTATATCATATCCTAGAATGGAACGAATGAGAACAAAGGCCACTGACTAAATAAAGACATCTTATACATTTGGACTCATTAATTGATTACATCTGGATATGTTTGCACAGTATATAAATAACTACATAGAAAAACAGAAAAAACACATTCTATTTTTAGATAATGCCTCATATGATTCAGGAGGCATCTTAGGAGGAACGTCACTTGCAGAGAGAGTGGAGGGAAGGGAAAATTACTCTTCTTTAAGGTGACCCCGGCCACCTGTTATTATCTTAAGTACTTCCAAAACCATTCAAAATCTGCTATTTAATTTGAAAAAAGCACCTTTCACATTGATTTTTTAAAAAATGTAATTTGAATGGTCTGATTAATCAGCTAAACGTTCCAGCTCTAATTCTAACTATGTAGAAAATCTCCCTCACACACATATGACATTTTTATACACCTACACACACACGCAGCGGAACTCAGAGAAAAGGTAACCCCAGCAATCAGACTGAGAATAATTCTGCATGCACATGAAGGTAAACATGCCCTGAACCACCAGCGCAAAAGAGAAACACAAACAAGTGAAATCTTGGGGAAAGTTTCACTGTGATTATCTGCAGCTCAAGAGAAAAGGAACAGAGACAAAACTGGGCATCAGTTTTCTGTCCTCTAGTGTAGCTAGACAGTCTGGAGGCTGTGTAGGAAATGGGGAGTTGAACTTTCATTTATTATATTTCTATCCTGCCTTGTTTCCTTCCAAGGAAACCAGAATGGCTTACACAATTCCCCTCCTCCTCTCAGTCTTATCCTCTCTGGCAGTGAGGCAGGCTGGGCTGAGAGTCTGTGACCGGCCCAAAGCCACCCAGCGAGCTCCATGCCTGAGCGGGGACTAGAACCCAGATCTCCTGAGTCCCAGTCCTGCACTCTTGAGCACTGCAGCACACTGGCTCTACATCCACACTTTGACTAGTTCCAGCATTCCTGTTCAGCTGTGACACTCTGACTGTTATGCTCAGTTAGCCTAAGCTACCTCCCAGTGTTGCTCTCAGGAGTAAATGGAGAAACCTCACAAACACATATGCCCCAAACTGCTTGGAAGAATAGCATAATACTAGGCAGACCTCATGAGGTAGCTGCATTCAGGCAACACAATAACCCACACTCAGCAGTTGAATGTGGGTCATCGTTCAAATGTGAATTATTGTATTGCTTGAAGTCAGTCTACATGCATATATGGGGGAGGCTCCGATTTGGGTCCAGGACACAACTACGTATCCCACAATGGGCAGGAACAGCTGCCCTGGGACAAGGCTTCTGGCTGCCCCTTCCCCATCCAATTAGGACCTCCAGTTCAGAAGACACATCTCCTTATGGCCAAGGTACCTGAACACCACAGTGGGAAGCACTGACAAGCAGATACCTTATACGGGCTTCTCCTCAGCAGCTGGAGGATGGAAGTATGCCCTCTCTGGCTTTCACCCCTTCTACCGCAAACATTTCACTGTATTCCCACAAGAGCTGATGTTATTTCCGGGGCATGACACAGCCCAGCTGTCACTGCCTTCCAAGTCACTACCCAACATAGGCTGGCCTACAGGGATTGATGGGGTTAGACTGGAAATGGCCTCAATATTACAGCAGAGGGGAAGCCAGAAAAGGCTAGCCTGACCTAGCCAAGCCAAAAGCATGGTGGGATGTAAGCTTAACTTCAAGCCAAGATTCTTGCTGCAGCAGTCAAACCAGTAGAAGGACGTTTGGTTTGCTCATATAAACACAGGCTCCTGGTGATACTGCAAACACAAAGTTAAACCAGAAAATCAAGGCTCGCAAAGCAGATTGCAATAACGGAAATAAAAGCGACCAACCTTCTCTATTCAGGTATGAGCAGGCATTTTGAAAAGCATTTGTGCACCAATTAGAGCTGAGCAAACGATCACTGGAATCTGAAGTGTGTAAAATATTTCCACATATACTATCTTCATGCTTGCAACCAAATCAAGCAAAAGCTGGGCCTGAGCAGCAGCAGGCTGCCTTTATGTCCAGCAAATATAAGGCTTATGTTGGCATTCAAGTTCACAACAGTTTTCCTAAACCTTCTCAGTCTATTTTTCATGTGTATCATATACAGAGAAACGTTACCTGCAAGCAATATAAATACAACATTCTCATCTGTCTGCCACAAACCTACATACATTAGAACACTGAAAAACTTGCAGCCTTGCAGACAAGATGGAATCACCCCAAAACAATTTTCTTCTGGCCTCTGGCACCCAATCAAATTCACATATAAAGAAAAAACATTTTTGAGTGCGGGAGGGAGGAATGACATCCATTCTATAATGATAAGTATCTTTTTGGACTTTAAACTACTGACTACATATTTCTCATAACTGTAAAACCCTGACATTAGTTGGCATTCACTTTGTGGTAAGCCTGACCACTATGAAGGGTTGGTTGGTGGGAAGGACTCACTTTAGAGTCACCAACTGATGCTACCTCTGAGAATACGGAAGGTGACTACCCTGTATGAATGGCAGACCTGCAGGTGCCTGTGCCAAAACCAGTCAGTATTGCAGGGAGGGTCAGGCCTCATCTAAACTCATCACTGATCGCATTTAAATCCCCTCCAGATAAGCCAGCATGCATTTCATACACATACAACACACACTGGTTCCCTAGGCAAAGGGATGCTTTGGCTGACTGCACTCTCTGGATGAGTGTCCATGTGCACTGAACACACACACGCTTTGGCTTTTATGCAACTGATGGGGGCTGTTATCCAACACATCTGGAAGGCCATCAGGCTGGGGAAGACCAGTTCTGGCAGGCATGCACTCTCACACGGTGGGAGCAGTTCAGAGCTGCAATGGCACCACCTGCTGGCACACTGTGGCAGTGAAGTTTTGAACATTTCCCATGCTTGTGCTCTGCTGGAAGTATGCAGGACAGTCTGTCTGTCGGTCACTCGCACCTGCTGTAGTTGCGCGTCAGCCTGTGCGTCAAGCAGTGCAGGAGGCATCACGAGGGATATAAATACGAATGAGGATTAGAAAGGGGAAGGTCACAGGCTAAGAGGCACCGAGCCTTTGCTCATAAGCAACAAATAGCAGAGATGCCATGGAGGAAGCAGGCTCTCTTAGGTGTAACTAACTGGATACTGAAAAGTCTTTGGTCATCAGCTCCAGGGTGGACTTGCCTAAACCCATATTCTGAAGGGTGCTTCTGAAGGTTTGACAAACTGCAGAAATTAACTTGAAACTGGTTCTTGCAGAAAATGCCCATAGCCACAATTTCAAGCTTTGGCAACATCCACCAGAAAACAAGCAGAGCACACTTACAACAGCCTCCTCTTCCTGAATACGCCTTAGCAGACCGAGGGGAAAAAATACCTGCTTCACTAATACATTCACATTACAACCAGCTTTTTTAAAGAAAAGTTGTTGTGAAAAAGTGATTACGGGGGTGTACACTGCCCAATCCCTGTGTTATTTGCTGTGACACACAGACCAAGAATTATATGATGTCAAAAGCCAGTGTGGTGTAGCAGTTAGAACGCCAGACTGCAATCCTGGGAATACAGGTTCTAGCCCCCACTTGGCCACGAAGCTCACCGGGTGACTTTGGGCCAGACGCTGGCTCTCGGCCTAACCTTCCTCACAGGGTTGCTGTCAGGATAAGATGGAGGGGAGGAGGAGGATTACATAAGCCATCTTGACTACCTTAAGGAAAAAAGGCAGGATATGCCTACAGAGGGCTAGTGGTATAGCAGTACTGGACTGGGACTCAGGCGATCAGGGTTCTAGTCCCCACTCTGCCATGGAGCCAAATGGGTGGTCCGTCCACCCTACCTCACAGGGCTGTTGTTGTGATAAGACTGAGAGGAGCAGGAGAAGAATTATGTAAGCCGCTTTGAGTTCCTTGGAAGGAAAACAAGGCAGGATATAAATATGATAAATAAATATAATTAAATAAGCTCTCTGGCTTGCCTGTCTTCTGACAAGGCAGAGTTTGCTGATGGGCAATTTTTAGCTGACAGGTTATTTCTCTAGCTTGAGGAAGAAGAGTCAGACAAGAGTTCCCAGTTCATACATCACAACAAACAACTCAAGAGTGGAGGTTGTTTAGCCACCCCTGCTCACAATAGTATCAACTGGGTAGCTTGCGCCACCATGTCTGTTCATTCACAGCCACCCAGGATTTTGAAAACCTGGGTTGTTGTGGGCATGTGAACTGGGCCACTTGTTTCTCCCATAGATTCCACAACAAGGCAAGGTGTCCCCTACAACCAGAATTAATCAAATTAAGCCAGGTAAGAAAGGTAATCAACAGGCTAGATCAGGGGTCGGCAACCTTTAACACTCAAAGAGCCATTTGGACCTGTTTCCCACACAAAAGAAAACACTGGGAGCTGCAAAACCCCTTTGACATCTAAAATGAAGGCAACACTGCATATATCGTTTTTTACCTTAATGCTATGTATATCTTCATTATGATTTAGCTGCAGCTCTTGTTCAGTCACTAAAAACTGTTATTTTTAATCTTACATTATAAACTAGTAGGACTCCTTTCATATGTTTTGAATAGGAGAACAGCTTCCTGAAAAGTCAAAGTCAGTGCTAAAGGGTTGCATGCATTAAACAGCAAACCCCATAAGTTCATCAGCAGTAAATCTACCCAAGTATCATTAAACATTTGGTTTTCTTCAGGAACTTTTCTTTTCTTCGATTTACCCAAGCGCTGTGCCGGCACGGGCCTCGGATCAGCAGCGGCTGTGACGCGAGCGACAGAGCCACAGCAGAGGCATTCAAGAGCCACATGCGGCTCCAGAGCCACGGGTTGCCAACCCCTGGGCTAGATCAACCGATTAAAACCTTCTTGGTTAATTAAACAGGTGTTTCCAAACAACAGGGCTCTTTTTTAATGTTAACTTTATGTTGTGTTGTGCTGGTAGCAGTGAAGCCTTGCTGCGCACGGTACACAGAGAATCTCACTGGCAAATAAGCAGCGTATTTTATGATACCATGGCATTTAGATCATACTGTCAGCTGGCTGCTAAGTCTCTGTCCATACCATGCATAACGCTGCCTTCCATCACTTGCCAGGTCTCACTAGCTCTAAATCCTTTAAATGAGAACAACCTGTCCATCATAACTAGGAGTAGTGAACCAGACTTGGATGGTGCATGACAGACAGGGAAGTCTGACCGCAGCCTGGTGCCATGAGGATTTACTCAGCAGCAAGTCCCACTAAGATCACATGCAGTTACACTCATCTATCAACAAGGGACCATGGCTTTTGTGGGTCTTGCACTCTCTTTGAGAGGAACAAGGAAAAGCTGGTGCTACATCCTTCAGCCATGCAATTCTCAGCAGTTGAGGTAGCTTTGCCCCCCCACAAAAAAAAACCCAAAACAAAACAACCAAAAAAATACAACAAGTTATTTGTTCCAGCAACAGCCACTATCAAGGCAGTGGCTGCCACAGGAAGTGATAAATAGCTTCTTTGCTAAGATAGCCATAATTGCCATGGGTTAAAATTTGGGGCCAAGCAGCAGCAGTTTCTCCCTTCCCTGCCAGACAGGGAATGCTGCAACAAAGGTAGCCTGCAGTCTTGTGCAGTTACATGGGGGCAGACCTTCTTGGACCCCTTCCATTCCAGGACAGGTGACCTTGTGTTCAATAGGCAGGCTCTTACCATTGTGTGGGAAGAATGCAGGTGCCCTGGGAAACACAATAATCTACAAATAAACTAAAATGGAGTTAATGGTCCTACATTTCAGCATGACTCTTTCCTACAGATGTCAGATAAGGGGTTTTCAATTTGTGTTCCAAGAGCTCACGGGTGACTAGATCAATAGTAGTAGACAGAAAGATAGTTTGCCTTCCCACTAGCAGTCTGCCTCCTGCAATACACAGTCTCACATGTGCACTGAATGCCTTTTGGAGCACACGCTAACGTTCACAGAAAGCAAGGAAATGAGCGTGGCCCCCACAGAATGCCCTGAGCCTCCTATGATGTATGATGTTTTAATGTATTTTGTATTCAATGTTGTAAGCCGCCCCGAGGCCTTGGCAAGGGGCGGCATAGAAATGTTTTAATAAATAAATAAATAAATAAAATGATGCATGGAAAGTTCATGGCAGACATTCAGGGGCTCCTGACTAGGCAAAGATCCCCTGTAGGCAAGAAGACAAAACTTTTCTTTCTGGACCACAGGTGTATAAAAAATAGACCTGGGTGTGCTACAAAATAATCAGCAATACCCAAGTGTAATATTTTGTCATGTTAGAATTCTGACATAAAATAATATTGTATTAGTAATATATTCAGAACTATCCTGGCATGAAATTTAGAATCCCTTGGAAGCAAAAGGCTGGCCCCTCATCTTCTCAGCAATCAGAAGGCCCAGCTGGGCTGGCCAAAGAGTGAGATGCAATGGCTTCTGTTTAAGAGGGCAGCCTTACAAAAGGAGGCATCGGTGATCAAAGAATTGCTCTTCTCAAAAGTAAATGAAGTGACACCTGACACAGCAGGACAGCCTCATGTTACCGAGCAACCTGCCACAGAAGGAGCAATGGGAAACAAAACAGGCACATTAGACTGACTCCAATACATGAGCCAGGAAGTTCCCAGTTCAAATCTCACATCATGAGCTCTATCCAGCTGCCTTGGACAAGGCCCTCAGTTTCCCCCTCTATAATACGATGTAACAATTCTGCTTTACCCTACCTGGTTAAAGAATTGTTAGGCTAATGTCTATGAAGTGTTTAGACAACTCAGGAAAAGTGCTGAAAAAATACTAATTATCATCATCCTTTATCATGCTCATACAGTGCTGTTGAGTAACTTAATCTACAACACTTTTGAGGATAGCATTGCTGGAGGCACTGCTTTCTCTTTTTATAACTGGCTGGATAAAATAGCCTGAACCAGGCATAATTATCCTAAGACGCCATGGAGAGTCAGGAGCCTGCAGTTACTTGTTGCTTCAGAATGCCACTAAGAAGGTCTGAGAAATCCTAGTAGCAGGGAATTGCTATTCAATTTTTAAAAAGGGAGGGGCTGAAACTGTCCATAATATAACTGACAGAGAAGTGGCAGAGGAAGGGAAGACCCCAGGTGCAGATTTTATTTTATTTATTTATTATTTATTAAAACATTTTTATGCCGCCCCATTTGCCAAAGCCTCAGGACGGCTTACAACAATAAATCCACAGGACCTCCTCTACTGAGGTGTGAATTCAATCCTCACTCAGTAATCTGGGCCAGTCACTCAGCCTCAACTACTTCCCTGGTTAAGGGATCATCTTCATGCACTGTTCTGAGCTCCTTGCTGAAGGATTATGCCCAAAAGCTCACAAAGGAGACACTAGAGACACCACCCACCTTATGCAACATAGTCAAGATTACTAAATGCTAGCTGAATTACTGGCACTAACAACCATTATACTCACAAAGCACCATGCTTAAAGAGGAAGAGTGAAAAGTCCGATTTTTTAAAAAAAATATTTAAATAGCTGACATTATGGATCCATCTGGGCAAAGATGAGCAGAAGAGTTATTCAGCCACTACTGAAAAGAAAAAGTCTGAGCCATATTCTACTTAAGAACATGAATACATACTAAGCAGAAAGATATCCCGGTTCCTTCTGGATCAGAACTGAGGACTTAAAACAGTTGGCGGCAATTGCCTCTGTTGTTAGAAAAAGTGTATCTTGAAGTTTTTCTACTAATAACAGAAATAGCTGCTCCACTCTTTCATGCATATGCTCATCTCCGCCATTGTAGTACTAAAGCAAATACCCCATGTGCAGGATTAGCTGGCTAATCACAATGGAGCTCAGAAACAAACCATTACCACTTTGGTTTGGCCATATATGGGGCTAATTAGCAGCCAAGATCATCATGCATGCAGAACACTTTCAGTAGCCTAAAGCGCTGCATAATTGCTACCTAACCCGAAGCTAAGACAATAAGCAGGGCTCAAAAACCTACAACTCCACTCTCTTAAAATCCGCCCCCTCCATAAAGCCCATATGGGGGCCCTCTGCTCCCTGTTAAGGGTACGACCAGCAAAGGGCAGGAAACCTAGCAAAAACAATCTCAGTAAATCTTCCCTCCGGTGGCTCAGAAGGATGTGGGCGGCCGGCACGGGAGCGTACGACCCTCTTTTCGCTTACCGCCTCCATTATTCCCGTCGCTGCCTCCCGCGCTCGGAGAAAAGGAGGTAGCTGCCGCGAAGGTTGCCGCCCGACCATAAGACTGAACTTCCGCCTGGAGGCATCCCTGCCCTCACTTCCGCCAGTAAGGGCTCACGTCAGCGGAAGTGGGTGGAACGGAAAGAAAGGGAAATGTTTCATCCGTGCATAATTGCTTCTCCCAGTCATGCTGAAGCTGGAGATAAATAAAGTCCATTCTACAGAATTAAACTGGAGTAGAGTAGTACGCAGACATAGCTCGGCTTCCAGCTCATCTACAAGAAACAGTTTCCATATTATTAGTAGCATTTTTCACCGGAACGATTACCTGAGCTAGACAGAGAATTACAGGGCAATCGCATACCTGCCTACTCAGAACTAAGTTGCACTGAATTCAGTGGGGCTTTCTCCCAGTTAAAGAGGAGAGAACTGCAGCCTTGGCGCGGAATCCTATGCCTGTATCGACAGAAAAACGTCCCACAATCCCAGTATTCCCTAGCCAGCATGGCTGGACTTTTTTCTGTCAAATGGGCATAGGATCGTTCCCTTAGAGAATTCCTGTCTTGCAACCCAGTAAGAGCCATTGCGTTCAATGGGGCATAGAATGGCAATGTTAGATTCTGCTTGCGGGGGACGATGATTAATCAAAGCTGCACCATTATCACTGGTTTATCCATTGTTTCCTATGAGCTGTCCAGCTGCCAGCTCTTTTATGGGTGGGAGGGAGAGGAGTGAGCAGGAAAACAAGGTCCAGGAAATCTCGCCTTCAGATCATTGAATTGTAATTCTTCCCCAGTTTTATGACAATGACATTCAATGGGCACTTCCGGTTTTTCGTTTGACGTTTGTGAGCAACTTTGCATGGAAAAAATTAGAGTTACACATGAACTTCACTGACACTTCCAGCCTGACTTCGAGTTATGGATGGGTTTGCATGAGAGGTTACCACAGAGATGTGACAAAATTGAGTGACATCATTCTATGAGTATCATGACCAGTTACAGAATTCCCTATGTGATCAATGGCAGCTTTTTCTATCTTTATGAACAATCCAAACAGAGAACCAGGGCACAGGATAGCAATCTGGAGGTACAGTATGTCTCCATTTTGCATTATGCTCCTGCATCACATGTAGGTGTATTTAAATCAACAAAACAAATGAGAGTCTTGTATCTTTGCCTGTCTCTTGCAGGTCGGCTGTGAGACAACAGACACAATGCCTTTCTAAATTATTTTGCTATGCTTCTGAAATAGAGCAATATGAATACTAAGGACTCAACATTTTGAAGAAAAGAACAGAAGCATTGATACAGTTCTCCAAATTTTCTAAAATTAGTTTAAAAGTTATCTACGACTTTTTAATAGATACTGTACTGACCCCCAACTAATTGCACCAGGCACTGAAATGACATGAGAGGATGGACATAGGGATGCAAATGAAGGTCACTCATTGGAAGAATTGTGTAACCAGAGTGGCCATGAAGGAAGTAACTCAGTGATTGAGAAACAGTGAGGCAAACATCAGAGCCATGAAGCCTGTCTGAAGGAATGTGGAGGGGCAAAAAATTTAATTGGCTTGCAAGAAAGTTTGCTACTTCCTACCTCATCCTCCCAGTAGTTTTATGAGACAGGGTCGTAGGACAAGGTGAAGTGAGAGAGGGGTGAACTAGTGAACCTGTAGTTATAAGCACGCAGGCGTAATAGGTTGATGAATATTAACTCACACACCTTGAATAGACAATGGGCTAATTATAATGCACACATGATGTATGTAGATGCATCTAGTGGGATGAGATGGGAGATATGAAGTAGGTGGATGGAAAGACTGTAACCTCCTAGAGGGAAAAGGGGAGGACTATGGCGGCCTGGTTGAGGGGTAAAAGGAGCTGTTTTGTGTGTTTGTACTTTGGAGAGATTCTGATAGAGCAGGGTCTCCCCATCTATTGCAATAAATGAAGGAATCGCCTCACTCTGATGGTAGTCTTGCTTATTTAACTTGAGAAGTATTTTCACAGCTTTTTGCATAACAGCCACATGCTGTTCCAGGAGCTGCACTAACACAACTCATAATGTTAACATTGCTCTGCACAAGCCAGTCACAAGAATTCCTATATACAAGATATAGCATATTGTGTGCTTTACCCCTAGGGACCTGATCCAGCCAAGGCACTTCAGATTTGAGAATCCTTAAGAAGAAACAAAGCCACCAATTATATAGAGTTCTGAATACAGTGATAACCTATGGATTTGGTATATAAAGAAGTGAACAAAAGCTTACACTGCCCTTTTCTGTTTCTGTACTGGTCCTCCTAAATAGGCCAGGGGATGCTCCATAGGCCTCCAAAGTTGCCTAGATGAGCGGTGCATCCATTCTTCTCCCCAGGCCAGAACAAAAGGCAATACTTCTTGGCATGGATTTCATCACCTTTCCCTCTATTACAGAACTTGCTAATATATGCACAGGACCCCTTCCTGGGAGATGGGGGTAAAGCTTCTTCAGTAAGGTAAATAATTTTGTTTTCACAGTAAAAGCGGCCCTTATCTGCAAAATGACCAAGGAAAGAAGCTTCACAACAATTAACTCCGCTGATCTTCCTTGAAAGTTGAAGGCCATCAGGTCTTTGCATGACTCCAAGAAACTATGCTGCCCTTTGAACACTGGGAAAGTTCACCACACCTACTTGTTGAACTTTTATAAACCTCCCCATCATGCTTCTGCAGAACCCATACAATGCATTGCACAACTATAACAATGTTCTTATTCCAATGCAAGGAATGGGGCACCTAACCTGCTAGTGATTTGCATATAGACGTTTGGACCAGACAATATGCAACTGGCAGTCCTATTTAAATTTTAGGCTTCAATCCTATACCCGCTTGCCTGGGAATAAGCCACACTGAAGCATACAAGACTTAATTCTGGGAAGGACAGATGGATGGATAGATGGATGGATAGATAGATGATATAATATTACGCTGGCGATTCCTTATCCAGACTGTAGCTGGCACTCTGAACTGCATTAGGATATGGAAACTTCAGTGAAGGAACTTGGAACCAACTTCAGCATTGGAGGCCTGTGAAGTGACTAGAGTGCCCGTCCTAGAGCACACTCTGTCCTGGAGTGCCTTTGACTGTGTAACTCCAAGATACCCCTCCTGCAACAGTAAACAAAACCAGCAGAACCAATTTGGGATCATGATATACCCAGTAGATTGTAAACCTGAGGACAAGGTCTGACCTAAATTGCTCAGGAGTGTGCTCAGCGAGACTTATTTCTGCCTAAACACGCACAGGGTTGCAGTTATATTTTGTCTGCCCTTCACAGTGTTAGAGGTGCTGGTGGCAGTAGAAGTACAGAGAAAAGGAGGAGGAAGAGCTTTCTCTTTATGAGGAGTTGCTTTCAAGCATTTCACTGAAGTACTGAAATGAGACTTACTTCTGCACAGGCACCCATAGGATTACACAGTAAGTCTGCAGTCTTGTGCATAGTAATGCAGGAACAAAAGCCCTACTAAACACAAATCTGCAGAGGATTGGGCTGAATGCCAGTAATATGCAAATCGTGTGCCATGAGATCAATGAATTAAATTATCAAAGGCTCCTTTGATCCCAGAGTGTCACTGTATGATTAACTATTCTGGCCTGGTCTCTCCATGCCTGTTCCCCAACAGCTGGGATGGGGGATCGGGAGTTTAATGTTACACCCTGTGCATGCTTCGGCAGATCCACAAGTCGCAGCATTTCCCTGCAAGCCATGCGGAGAACTGTACTCCCAGTCACACAAGGCAAACACAGCAGAACAATCTTGTCCTCAGAGGAGACTGCCTGTTAAATCCCTGCAGGAATCAGTGCTCTGGACCGGCCCTCTTATGGAGACGGTGGAGTGGAATACGTGACTCAGGCATAAACACAGACAGTCCGCTCTTGTGCAATTTATAAAAAGCCGGCTTGCGGTGTAAGAGTGGAAAAAACCTCCACGTTTACTTTTACACAAAGAAAGACAGAAAATCGCGCTAAGTTTAGAAGACCTGCCCAGGCTGAACGCCGCGTCGCCTGACATTTCCCCGCCCATACGAGGGGCAGAACATAGAATCACATGTTGCAGGTCAAGACAGATGTGGGAACCCGCCTCCTTGCCTGGAAGGATTTAACCAGGGCGCGCACAATCAATGAGTTACGACCTGAAAGCCAGCCAGTGGCAGCAGTTGTGCGCCGACTGGACGCCGCTAGACCTGCGCCGAGTCCCCGGCAAAAGGCGATCCGTGGGTGAGAGCGCGAAAGGAAAGCGGGCGCGTTAGTTTCCCGGGCATTTTGGCTTCCCCTCACCTTTCAGCTTGGAGGCGGGCGGCGGACTCACTCTCGATGAAGCCCCATGTGTGAAGGGCTGCCCAGGCTCCTGCAGGGCTGCAGCACATTTTCCTTAATCCTGCCCTGCTCTTCCCAGGAAGGAAAACCGTGGAGCGGGGCGCGGCAGCATGAAAACAACCCATTGCAAGGTTTCTGATCCGGCGTTGATGGTGTTACCGTGACGTGGCGCGGGGTTGGGGCAAAGAGCGGTTTCGGGGCCCAGCGCATGTGCAGAGTGGAGGGATGCGCTGCGTATCTCTCTCTCCCCCCCCCCCCCCAGCCAGTCGCTTCCTGAACAGCATCAAGAGATTGAGTGTGAGAGCCCTTGGCGTGTAGCTGGGCGGAGGACTAGGACTGGGAGAGCTTAGGTGAAACTTCCCTCGGCCGCAAAGATCCTGGCGTGACTTGGGGCCAGTCCCTGCCTCTCCACCTAGCCTACTTTACAGGGTTGTTGGGTAGATAAACAGGGAACCTTAACGGGTTGATCTCCTTGAATATCACACATACGCAGGGTAACATGGACTATGAATAAGAGATGGAGGGACTCCGTCAAGGAAGCCACAGCCTTGAATTTAGAACAACTAAGTGAGGCTGTCACTAATAGGACATTTTGGAAGGCTTTCATTCACAGGGTCGCCATAAGTCAGAGACAACCTGATGGCACATAGCAACAACATGGACTACGAAATGCTTGCTTCTGGGTGTGAACCTTGCAGGATTTCTTTCAATCTAAACATGAATACAATTATGTCCTGACGTGCCAAAGCAGGAATGAGAAACCTTCCAACATTGTTCCAACATTTGCCTGTGCAAAATGAATACATTTAGAATTAAGGACTTCTGAGCCCAGGAATCAGTTCCGGGTACCAAGATTCAATTGAGCTCATAATTCTGCCACAAACAAATCCACCTCAGGATAATTTAGGGTGGGAATGAGACCTTTTACTGTTGCTTTTGTTAATAGCGAGACATGAATATCTACTGATCTCCTGCAAATCATCCAGTGATCTACCGATACATCTTTCTGTCTACCCTCAAGGGAAAGAGATGGATCCTCTTCTTTCTGTTGTACATTTATAAAGGCAGCAAGGATTTCTAGCAGTTAACTGAAAACAAAATCTTACTCTCACTGTTTCTTGCTGACTGCCTCTTCTTCACCTACACCTGCCACTCAAGGTAGGGATTTAGTATTGTCTCTAATCTCTTCTCTTTACTACTTAATCCATCCCCAGGGAAAGTGGAGAGAACCACTGAGGGCTGTAGAGAGAACTGTGAAGTTTTCACTCTTGAAAATCACAGCTGGCTTCCCTCTAATATTCAGCAGTACTGTATAGCTTTTTATGATGAGATTTGATCTGAGAGGCAAGAGAGAGATGCCAGGATACTTATGGACGTGGCATTTTTTGCTACCACCTCTGCACACATCTCTAGGACTGAGTGACTGACTGCAGGAAACACTTGCGAACAGCCTTTTATGACCTCATAAAGCACCGCTCCGAGCAAACCACCGCATTACTAGCCATCATTAAGATTTTTTTATAGAAGCCAGATGCAAATTTTCAGGGCGGCTGCTGCCATTCACTCCCATTTCTGTCTAGTCCCAGCCCTTCGGGCCTGTGAGTGAGCATGATGGCTTTCTGCTGTCAACTCTTCTTGGTGGAAAGTATATGCTTTATAGGTCTTTATTGACTGAATCAATTCATACATCTTTTATGTATCTAAAAAGGCACCTCAAAGTGATATATAGCATGAAAGCTTAAATTCTCTATATTTCCTTCTTTTAATGCTGGGCAAGTGCATACTTACTCAGACATTAAGTAAAATTGCATGACATTGCACTGTTAGTTCAATTTTCTCTCTCCCTGCCCACCTTAAATAAGTCCCGCTGTAGCATCCTAATTCTTTTTGCTTTCGAGGTTCAATGCTATGTATACCTGGACAGATAAAAAGGACTGCAACTCGAGCACAACTGGCTCAGAAATATTGAGAGATGCAGGACTTTTTTTCTGTTTAAACAGACCCAGGGTTGAGCCCTGAGCTGGCAAACTATGTTGCACTGAAGCAATTACACAGCATCATAGAAATAAGCTTTCCGGGCATCCTTTTTTTTTTACATTTGTGACTACTGCAATCTTCTCTGTATTTTCTTATGCAAAGTTACTTGGAACTAACTGTTGTTCCCTGGGGCTTCCTTCCCATGAGTGTGGGATTCTAGCCTTATGCATTCACATTTTCCTCATGCACTTCCTTGGAAAAGGTTCTCCCCCCACCGCCACCATCCCTCGAATCTCCATTTTTGCAAAAATCCTTTGAGCTCAATGAAGCTGTGAGTGAGAAGCAAGTTTAGTTCGTTTGTCTCTAACAGATTCGGTTTATGCTTTAAAGTATTCATCTGTATCTTGAGGTCCTTTTTTTGATGGATTTTCCTGTAATTTCTGTTCAAGTTTCAATAGCTCATCTATTAATTTAAGTCGTTCTTGTTTGAGTTCCGGCACCTTTTTTTTTTTTTTTACAAAAAAAGCACTGGTTTAGTCCATTTATATTCAAAGAGAGTAGTTCAATTCTTCCTTCCATTATCGAAACAGTATTTATAAAGTATATGTATATCTATCTACATTTAGCCTTCACGCTTCTACCTTTTCAAGTGAGAAGCAAGTTTGTGGGTATGGGGGGGTTTGAAACCTCCCGTCCTGATTCCCTGAATATTTCTCCAGCACAGCAAGGCCCGTCCTCTGTCCCCTGCCCCAGACCATGGCAGCTCTTCTGAGGAGCCTGCTCGCTGCCTCGGAGAAGGCGGCCCGCATTGCCCAGCTGTGCCGCCAGGAAGAGGCGCTCTTCAGCTTGCTCATTGAGGAGAAGAGAGGTGCGGACAAGAACAAGAAGTTCCTGCAGGACTTCAAGACCTTGGCAGACGTGCTCATCCAAGAGGTCATCAAGCATGATGTGGGAAAGGAGGTACCTGCTGGGAAAGGGGCTTCCATCATTGTGGGAAATGGAACCAGGGCTTGCCTGGCACTTCTGGAGCAAGGATCAAGTGTGTCAGGCTCTTTACATTATTTATTCATTTATTATTATTATTATTATTATTATTATTATTATTATTGATTTATTACAAACCTTTATATCCCATCCTTCCGACAAGCACTCAGGATAGCTTACATGGCATAAAATTTAAACAGTACAATAATAAAACCACAGTTCTGAAAACCATATAAAACTGAACCTCATAAACTAAAAAGAAAAGGAAGGAAAAAATGGATGATAGAAAATGAAAAGTGCGACTGTGAGGGGAAAAAAAATATCTTAAAACATCTAAAATCCTGGATTATTAAAATGGTGGTTAAATAAAAAGGTCTTTACCTGGCACTGGAAGGAGTACAACATCGGCACCAGGTGGACCTCTCTGGGAGCGCATAATCCTCCAGATGTGTAAAAAGCCAGGATCCAGTAGGCCAGGATCGTTATCCCCATATTGCAAGTGGAGGACTAAGGTCTGAAGATGGTGGCTTGCCCATGAAAATGCAATTTCTCTGTGGCCAATGTGAGGCTTGAAATGGAGGGACTTCCTGGAGCACAAAGCTGCATGAGCGCTGCCGTTTGCGCAGCCCTCACAGGCAAAGCAGCTTGTCCACCACTGCAGGTTCCAGTGGCAGATGCAAAGCTTTCCCCAAGGCTGGGGGGAGAACTGGATCTAGCCACAGTCTAAGGAGAGCTGCCCAGGCTAATCACTGAGGTTCAAGAGATCTCATCATTTACAAGTCGTTCCAAAATGGCTGCTGTATTAAGGGGCAAAGCCTGAATTATTTGTCTCTAAAAGTGGTGCATCCCAAAGAGGGATGATTTAGAGATGAGCTGAGCGATGGGTGGAGCCAGGGCCAGTCCTGACTATTAGAGGGAGTGAGGAAGTTGCCTAAGGCAGCTGATTCTGCATGTCATGAAAGGCAACACATCAAGAGTGAACCGAATCGCACACATTGCATTTACACTGCCAGGGTGGATGGGGAGACACAGGCAGGAGCTGTGGGTGCTTCCAGATGGTGGCTACTACTGCTAGCAGCCAGAAAAGATTGTGCAGCTGTTCCATTGTTTCCTTAACCTTCTGCAGCAAGGAAAAAGACAGGAGAGGTAGGAGAACACAGGAAGGATGGCAGTGCCATCAGGACCCTCCACAAAATGCCAAGCCTGAGGCAAGGCGATGTTGCAATAAAAATCTCATCTGGAAGTACCCCTGGAGCAGGTGCTAAAATAACGTGGGCAGCCGTGGATGCAACATACTTTTATTACTGAGGATGGGAGCAGGAGAAGCCTTTTGTTGCATCCAAAATCTTAGCCCACCCCCCACCCCCCCACGACATCGCTGCCTGGTTCTTGCAGATCTTATTTGGCCATCAGTCTAGCTAGTCCCCAGTCGCTCAGTCAGGCACCTGGCCTGAGCACACAGATGGAATGAGAAGCTCCACAGAAGCCAATATCCTTGGGGACTTTATAGAGGCACTTCCTGATTCAGCAGTTATAGCTGGGTGTTTCCTCAGTGGCTGAATCTTCCTTCTTGCAAGGAGACCCTTATACACCCTCTGTCTGGTGTATGAGATTTACTCTATCCAGAGACCTGGATTATAAATGATATAAATTTAATATAAATTATAACCCATGCTTTATTTCACCTGCAATCATAATGTAAATGTTGATTAAATAAACCATGGGTTATCATTTGTTGTCATAAACAGGGTTTGTCCGTCGGACATTCAAACAAACAAGCAAACATTTGCAGCCTGTTTTCTCAATCCCAGATTGGTTTTTTACCTCCTCCTTTGACCCCCCGTCCCCCCCACTTGTATCCCAAACTCCTTTGCAGTGTTGTAGTGCTGGCATGTGAAATGGCAAGGGTTGTTTAACCACTTGTGAGTGCTACATCCGCAATCTGGCAAAACAACTGACAGTTCTAGGTTGTTCATGGTTAGCAGACCATGGTTTGTTAGAGCAACCGCATCTATAGATTAGGACTAGATTGGAACCACTCAGAACTCAACAACTGCTAGCTTAAATAAAACATGGGGTAGCATTAAGAGTAAATTGTGGTGAGCTTTCAGTCCTTGCTCAACTTAGAATGAGCTGTCATTGGAAGATGCCAATTCTAACTGTGATTGATCTGGTACCCAGTTGATCCAACGGGATCATCCTGGCATCAGGCACTGCAGGATTGCTGAGCTGAGAATAGCTATGCCCGGGATCAGGCTCATTAGCATGTTCAAGGGTACAGTCCTGTGCATGCCATAAATGTGCAGAATTGTGCCCTAAGCTGAACTCAACTCAACTCTCCCCTCCCCTCTCCTCATCTCCATTCCTTCCCCTTTCCTATTGCTGCTGCTGCCAGTTTCCAGAGCTACAGGAGCATATTCGTGGTGAGGAGTCCAACAAATTTGAAAATGGCCTCGGTGAGTGATGATGCTCTTGCGTGGTGGGAAGAGCGAAAAGAATCGGCCTGTTCTCAGACAAGCCCTTGGCCCTCTGCCTCAGCCTGATCCTTGCAGCAGCTGCTGAGCCTTCTTTTTAGTCATCAGACTACTTCCCCGCCACCAAGCCCCATTTCTTCAGTGAAACCCTCTCCTGAACTGCTCTAGGTTTCCTTGGGCAGCCCAAGTGCCCTTCCAGCATCCTGGTGTGAGGTCCTATGACCTCTATGTCAGTTTGTGTGCCAGGGGGCCCCCAGGCGCTGCAGGGGGCTTGGGGGAAAGTTTTGGGGGTACTCTCTTCAGGCACAAGTGTGAGCCTGGCCTGTTGGGCCTCCCTGTTGACCAGTGTGAGCAAACAACACAGCCTGAAGCAGTCGCCATCAGTCTTAAGAACCAAACTGGAAGTGTTTCTCTGCCTTCCCCGAATGCACGCACGTAACTTTTGCGGCATGTACAAGCACAAGGGGCTGGGGGTTGCTGCTCCTTTCCTTACGGTAGGGAAGACCCAAATCAAGCCTGGTTAGTAGCCCATTCCTGGCCCTTGTCTAGGGGGGGCGAAGGGCCCTCGAACCTCTCAAACTCTGGTTGCCTTGCAGGGGAGACCGTAGTGGTGCAGGTTTGCCCCACCCAGGCGGACACAGCAGCCCTGCTGCAAAAGGTTCTGGACCGGAACCGGAGAGCCGCCGAGTTGCTGGCTGCTGCTGTCCATCAGGAGGTGGTGCTGTCGGACCCGGCACTGGATGGCATTGCTGTAACCATCTCCACAGACAGCCTGGCCGTGTGGATTGACCCCATTGGTAAGGAAGTAAGAGACGGCTTTGTGGGGTGCAAGAGGGTCCCAGGAAGTAGGAGCTTTGACCAGCCTTCCTCAGCCCATGCGCTGGACCAAAGCTCCTGTCACCCCATCCATGCCGTCTGAGGATGATGGGAACTGGAGTCCTGCACATCAGGAATGCACTGGGCTGGGATGGCTGGCTTGGACAATGCGGATGCTTCCGCCAACTTCAGAGGATGGGTGGTGGGCCTGTGGATTGGGTTATATAAGACGGGGTCACCTCCTGCCTTCACACCCACCTCGGCTGCAGGGCTATCAAGTGGAGCGGTGTCTGGTCTGGCGGAAGAGCTCGCCTCTCTCAAGCAGTCATCTTCTCCCAGCCCTTCCACCTCAGTGCATGTGGTCCCTTGACAAACCGTCTTTGTGAGGTGCACCTCAATACACCCTCAGATCTAAACCAAAATATATAACTTGGGAATACGACAGCGATAAAAGATGTTGGAGGCATGGATCATATCTACATACCTCCGCCAGGAAACAGTGCCTGACTGATGCTCCAGGTCAAGGATGCACTTGCTGGTAGACTCAGGATTGTTGCTGAATTGCCCTCTCGGAGATGCCAAGGACTGCACCCTCAGGCCACTTCTCTGCAGAGACCTCGCTCTGCCAATGGGCTATGATCCCGTGGGCCCGAGAGCCTTCCCCGTCAGCTGTTACCCCATCCTTGAGATGCCACACACTGAACCAAGGACCTTCTTTTGCATATAAATTGTGGGCATATAAAACCGCTGAGCTGTGGCCCCTCCACTCCCCCTATGGAGAACTACAGTTTAGCCAGCACAGAGCACGAGGAGGAGGAAGAGGAGGGCTTTTCATTTCTCGGTGGCCCAAGAGCCAAAGCGGACTGGGCGGTTTGCAACAACTCCTGCTCTCTCTCCTCAGATTCCACCAATCAGTACATCCGTGGCTGTGGCAACGTGCTGCCTGTGGATGGCATCTACCCATCCGGGCTCCACTCAGCACTGGTGCTGATAGGGGCGTACAGCCGCCAGTCAGGAGAACCTGTCCTAGGCATCATCAATGAGCCCTTCTTCCAGGAAGCCCTGCCAGCACACGGGTAATCACGGCACTGACGGGACCCTCTTTCGCAAAAGGGCCAAGCTGGCTACCCTACCAAATACCAGGCGGCTTAGCCCGTAGTCGTTCCCTTGTACTACAGAGATGTCTCCATGCATGCAGATGGTGGAGGGCCACCCTGAGAGCAAGTCTGGTCTAGCGCTTGGAGTGCCAGACTGGGCCCTAGAAGGCTCAGCCTCTAGACCCCACCTTGGCCTCCACTTGTCTTAGGTGACCGGCTCTCAGCCTAACCCCAAAGCGCTGCTCTGAGGGTACAAGAGAGAAGGATCACGTAAGCCGCCTTGGCTTCCTTGCAAATGAAATAATATAGATCTACGTATAATAGCAAATACATTTTAGGGAGAGGAAAGAGGGGGATGTATCCAGTGTTAGTCTGATGTAAGCCCCATTCATTTCAGTGGGTCTGTTCTAAGTTGGACAAACGTAATATAACCCAGGATAACCACAAGCTCACTACTGTGAGGTTTTGTTTACATTCGTGTTTGCTCTGGAGAAGCTACCTTTTACTTACTCGGACCCTAATAGGGAGGCCTTGCCCATGCCCTGATTGCAGACATGTCTGCACACAGATCCTATCCAGTGGAGACCTGAATGCACCAACTACACCACTGCAGGCATTTTTGATAGACTCCAAGGAGCAAGCCACAGCTTGCCACATAGGAAAAATCAAGCTCACAAACAGACTGACCATTAAAAAAATCCCTACAAACTGGTTCTGGTAGCAGGAATTCTAAAAGAGATTCCTCCTACTCCCGTTCTCCCTTTATCTTCCTGCAAATCATGCATTGCTGCCTCAGAGCTTTGCTTTCTGCTCATGCAACATCGGCAGCCACCCCAGCCATTTTCCTTCCACCCACAGCAAAGTTTTTGCCATGACTGGGAAGCTTGGTCACCGCACGGCTTCTTCCCCCATCCTCTGCTCGACATGCACCCTTGGTGGCTTTTCTTCACAAGCCTTCCCTGACTGCCTTCTCTTTCCATTTGCAGGTGGCAGAGCAAATACCACTGGGGCATTTCCTACAGAGGCACCCACCTGAGCTCGCTGAGCCGGCCCCAGCTACAGGCTTCCCCCCGCGTGGTGCTGAGCACCAACGAGAAAGTGGGGCTGCAGAAGGCGCTGGCTCCCCTCTGCGGCGAGCAGCTCTGCTTTGCCTCGGGCGCCGGGTACAAGATGCTGTGTGTGGCCCTGGGCCTGGCAGATGCTTACGTGCTCTCAGAAGGCAGCACCTTCAAGTGGGACTCCTGTGGCCCCCATGCCATCCTGCAGGCCCTCGGGGGAGGCATCGTTGACCTCTCGGCAGCCTTGCAGGCATGGCGTGCCGGGCAGGGCAAGCAGCTGCCTGAACTAACCTACCACAAGCCTCTGGAGGGCTCTGTGGGCGCTGACTGCTGGGCCAACCAAGGGGGCCTGGTGGCCTATGTCCACCCAGAGCACCTGGAGGCTGTGATGGCCACCCTGGCAGCTGCGGCTGATGCCTTCTAGAGTGCCTTCTCTGGGCAGGGGAGAATTGACCAAGACGTTCATCTCAGCAGAGGAAGAGGAAGCTTCTCCGCAAGCACCGGACTCTGTGGCTCAGACTTCCTTGCTGTGGGACCAATCCGTTATCTTTGGAGGCAACATGCAAGCATGGGATGGGGTGACACCTGCGACATCAGGCCTCTCTGTGCTGTTTTTGTTTGTGGAAGCATCACTTCCGGACAAGGCAGGCATTGTTGTGGGAGGACCTTAAATTGCTCCTTTGCCGCAAACCTGCTAGATATGTTGTTCTTCTCATACGGGCAATATGAGCCGCGCTTAACATGGTAAATACGCATTGGGGCCATTCCATAGTTTCCTTATATACTTGCTTTAGCTCTCACTGGGGGCCTCCAGATGAGGCTTTTTTGTGTAGTCACCTTGCCTTCTTCATCAAAGTTCCTGGTGGTGCTGGGGCTGGGTCCAGACCATGGCATCTTTGATGCATAGCTCTCTTACATTGCCCACCTCCTTACTCTGCCTCTTTTCTTACTGGGAAAAAGATCCATTAATAAAAAAAGGAATAGCTGCACAATACCTTTTGACTGTTAGTGTTAGAAGTCCTTTATCTAGAAGCAGCCTCCGGCCCAGTTTTCACATAAGAGGAAGCCACCATGGGTGAATTTTCTTGCAGACCATGGCTTGTTATTACATGAGAATCTGGCAAGGGTGGGTTGTTAGTGTGGTTGACAAGCCACCCACAATCCTCAAATAGCCCATGGGTTCCAGGTGCTTGTCAAGCATCCTAACAACCCACCCTCTCCAAGTTTACATGTAGGGACAGGTTGCCGTGTGTCCCTGCCATGATTTGAATATTCAGAATGGTGGATGCTGCCCCAGCAAGAGACCCTGTGAGGAAACTCACCCATGGTGGCTTCCATGTTACCTGCAAACCAAGTCATTGCCCCTACCATCTTGCATAGTGAACTGGGCTGCACTGGTGTCTTTTTCCATGGCGTGCCTGCTCACTTTCTTTATGACACACAGTCTGAACTGCATAGCTTGATCCAACTGGGGCTAGTGTATGAATTGTCCTGCTTCATGCTATGAAGAAAAACCAGAGGGCCTGCAGGCCCTTTCTGGGTCCATGTCTATATTACAACCTTACTTAAGTGGTTTAAGACATTCTCTCTCAAACAGGGAATCTTGGGAGTTGTAGTGCTGAAGTTTCTCATAGAGAATTCCTCAGGGTGCTTTGGAAGGAACCATAGCAGTTGAATGAATATACAATCAATATAAATATATAGTTTACCTATGTACTGTGACAATTCATTTGTTGTCATTTCCTTATAACCAGAATTTTACAGAGACTAACTGAAATGGATATGTATTTTTATTTTTATTTTATCCCTCTATTTTTATTTTCAGTGTAAGTTTCCATCTCATATGGTTTGGAAATTTATATTTTTAACAGGCAAACAGCATGAGGAAAAAAGTCAGTGGGAGAGTCATAATTCTTTCTGTCATTAATTCAAATATTTGGAATCAGAATAAAGCCAGACTCTTACACGTGCCTGGATGGAAACAAAGTTGTATTGCTCCCAACATTCCTTAGCCAGGTGTGCTGGACCTCCTTTCATCATGCTGGGCATTAGTAGACTTCCTTTAAACATGCAGAGGATTGCCCCATAAGTAAATGAAAGTTGAACAACGTGGTATGGAACTATTTAATCTGATTGCTATAACCAGTGAAGAATATGGTTTCTTTGACTTTTTAAAAGTTTACTTTTACTTTTTATAATAGTTGCACAATGTTTAATAGTAATAAGATCTGAATTGCTTACAGTATCATTAGATTTTATTTTTACAGTCAGTATTTCTGGAATATTGAATATAGCATAATAAATAATAAACAGTACACTTGGAAAACATAAGCATTGTCTTCTGTTACGAAGACTAACTTACAATAAATATATTTCTTGCAATTTTGTAAAAGGTGATTATACCTTTAAAAGCAAAAACAACGATAACCTCATCTGCTTAAATAATACGAGATCAAACTTGAAATCAGGCTGAAACAACAAATCTGTGAGAGCAGCAGTAACGTCAGCCAAATACAAGCCCATCCTTGAATAAATACACGTCTGGAGAGCTCTAGGCCAGAGCACGCTTTTCAGGGTGTGCTTCTGTGCTTTAGCTGCACTGGCTTAGCGGCTCTAGGATGTGGCAGACGCTCCACTGTGCTGGCACACCAACATGGTGGCACAACCTCCCAATGGTGGGTCCTTCTGCCAGTGAAGATATCCTGATGGATTGGCCAAAATGGCTGTCGGAGGAACATGAGCAGCACTGGGAAGAAGCATGCTTGTATCCTGCGCTCCTCTGCCAGATCACAGCCATGACTTTGCAGCTCGAGAGCAGCCCCAGACGTGGTGTGAGGCATCAAGGGCAGCACATGGGTGTCGACGGTGGCACAGTGCCTGATTGGTGGTCCCTGCTTGTGTTTCTGAGGGTGGTGGAGGCGCACCTGCTGTTCTTATGACTTTTTGCATTTCCTGGCTGTGTTCTTGGCATTGTTGTGGCTCATTGCCCCTCCAGGACTGAGCACAAGCACAAGACAGCAGCTATTTTGTGGGCAGACGGGCAGCATTTCTTTCTTCTTCCATCAGTGTGGTTAGCAGACAGGACTGTTCTGCCCACCTACCACCCCCAAGGCCTAGATATTTCCTGTTTAAAAGGTAACAATGGCAAAACAATGACTTCTGTTGCTTTGGTGCTAAAGTAATCTAAGATCGCAGCCTTAGTCTGGCTAAAAAGCTAGTGCATGTTGTCCACTGGCGGTCTAAAAAACCATGTTGATCTTCGTAGCTTGATCACATGCATAATTGCGCAGAAGAACCCCATGGAGCTAAATAGACCCTCGTTCCACTTGTTTAGGGATGTTCAGTCATCTGCTCCACTGCCAAAGCTGCATCCAAGGAGCTAGAGAGCCAAGGTCTCACTCCAACATGATTGTTGATGATTGGAAACAGCTCTCTGCTTCCTGAGCACAAGATACAGGATGGTTTAGAAATCCTAGGTAATTACCCTCACAGGCCGAAAGGCCGTTGATGCAAATGCCCCTCATTCCCATTAGAAGTCATCAGTGTCCACAAGATGGCACTATGGCTCTCCCTACTGGAGTGATATTTCTGTGCCAGCTGCTAGCCAGAGGGCCTTGGGGGAACTCGCTTTTCACCCCTGACTGAGCATTTAGTAACATAAAGCCAACTTAATTTTATGTTCACCTGTTGCATTTTTTTCTTTAAACTGGGAAGCTAACAACAGAAAGGGATTGTAGTCAAATCCTGGTTGGAAAAAACTGCTGTCTGCTTTCTGTGCCAGCAGAGACTTTTAGTGCAGACATAATATTCAGCATTCTGAACACATGTTTTTTAAATCATATTTGCATTTTGTATTTTTGTGTGGTATGAATTCTTAACTGCCTAGAGGGCTTCAAGTACTGGGCATACAGAAATGAAATTAATAATAATCTTCACCTCAGCCTCTTTCCAAAAAATGCTTTTTAAAAAAAGAAGTAAAATGTCTCATTTTGACTAGGAAGGCAAGCCAGTTGGGCAATGTCAAAATCTCAGCAGAAAGGTTGAGTAATATTTCAAAGTAAGGCAGGATGTGGGCTTCAATATCCTGCATAGTTTACTGATTCTTCATATACTTAGCAAATATGGATTAATTTATAGAATCCTATTTCATTTCTAAAGAGGTTGTGGAATCCCATTTTCTTGCCACAGAATTTTAAAGCACAGGCCATAAGTACACTGCTGGCTCTGTTTCATACCCTCAAAATACAACTGTTCAATATTTATTTATTAGATTTATATCCTGCTTTTTCTTAGAAGAAACTCAAAGTGGCTTGCAGCTCCTCCTGCTCTCAATCTTATCCCCACAGCAACAACCCTGTGAGGTAGGCTGGGTTGAGAGTCTGTGATTGGCCCAAAGTCACCCGGTGGGCTCCACGGCCGTGTCCCAGTCCTGCGCCCTTCACACTACACCACACTGGCTCTCAGTCACTCGGCAGACCCCACTCTGTGCATGTGTGTATGGATTTTCCATATGGTTCCGGCAGACCCAGATCAGTGCTTTTGAAGGTGAGGTGGGAGGAGGGCAGAAGCTTAGCAGGTGGGGTTCACAACTCAGCCGAAACCCATGGACAGGTTAGTGTGCCATGTAGGATAACAATTAACAGTTAGGTAAACTAACCCTGTGGCAGCATAATAAATGCCTCTGCTTCTAATACTGCAGAAAAGGGATAATGAACAAAGTATTATGGACACTTTTCAGAGAAGAGGGTTTCCAGTTTCAAGAGACCAAATGCATTTTCTTAACAAAGTATAGTAAGAGGAAGCAGCTTATGTAGCTGCAATTCTACACTTACTTTCCTGGAAACACACCCTGTGGAACTTAATGGGACTTTCTTCTTAGTACTCATGTACATAATTACTTTGTTGGTAATTTTATAGTAACTTGTGCTCTGCAGATTATGAATCTGTGTAATCAGAGAGCCAGTGGGGTGCATAATGGTTAGCACTGGTCTGGGGATGAGCTGTGAAGCTCATTGAGTGACCTTTGGCCAGTCACTCTCAGACTAAGCCACCTCTCACGGTTGTGGTGAGGATAAAAAGGAGGAGAAGGATTATGTAAGTTGCTTTGGATTCTGGTAGAAAAAGGTGGGATAGCCATATCATTAATAAATAACAAAAGCCGGACTGGGCACGCAACCCCACCCTGGCCATTTTGCAGCCTCCCTTGCTCCTGCTGAGTTTGCTGCAGCAGCAGCTTAAAAAGCAGCAGTTTTGGAGGAAAAGGCTTACGCAGAGAGTGCCTCTTATTTGGAAGCGGAATTGTACTCCCAGAAGCCTTCTGGAGGTGCAGTTCTACTTGAAACAAGGCCCTGGCCCCTGCATGAGGGGAGGGAGTTGCTTCCACCGCAGGCATCCCTGAGAATTGTCCATTACTGATTTTTTAAAATGCATTTTTTTTCTGTAGGTTTAACATTCTTTGAGCTTTTTAACTATAGTTTGATCATTTTCTCTGATATGAGTTTGTGTGTGAAATAGCAATTCAAATCTATGTTTGTGATTCCAAGAAGTAAGGGCTGTCCACATTTTCTCTGTGAAGATTGGGAAATGATGGATAGGATAATTTTGTTTCCCCCTAAGAATAGGCTGGTAGCACTCACTGTACTGACCCAGAATGAGACAATGACCTCAGAAAGCCAATAAGGAGCGGGAAGAAGGGGAAGGCATCAATGGCAGCTTCCAGGTTGGTCCTCCTAAACTCTCTGGAGGGTCTCCTCTTTTGATAGAAAGAATTAGGTACACCACCTGGCCTGAGCCCCCAAAACTAGGTTGCAGCATCAGGTGTGATGGAGATGCTCTCCCAGTGCCATTGTTAGAAGAAGAATCAACTAGCAATCCAGTCAACTTCTGTACATGAAGCCTTCTTCTTCTTCTTCACCTTAGGCTTCAGATGACCTGGGGCAGGATGGGTATTGTTGTTTAAAGTAATTCACAATGCAGGATTATTATTACAGAATGCACACATCTCTCGTGAGACTTTTTCAGTGACAAGAACCTTTGAGGAATACCCCTGTGAGTAGTGCTATGAGGATTAGTTCTGGAGATGTGCGTGTACAAGCGAGATACGTGATAAAACAGTTCACCAAGATGCCAACTCTGTATTAAAAGCTCCTTGGCTCCTCCTGCCTATCAGTTCAGCCAGGATGTCTAGTCATAGCTACTCTGTTGCCAGAAATGCTTCAGACAAGATAAGCTTCTGAGAAATCCAATAAATTGAAGCAGAAATAGCGAGTGAGAGAAGCAGTCTTCCGCCAAGTGTTGTATCAAAACTGCACGCAGGTGCTAAGAGGAGAAAACTGAGAAACCTCAACTAAGTTCACAGCCTCATCCTGTGTAGAGTTAAACACCTCTAACTGTATGGTTTAAATGGGCTTGGTCGGGCGTGCTTCATTCTGCAGGAGAAGGGCCACGCTAAGAGTGGTTCCTGGTTCGCAGGGTGTCCTTGGGGCCAAGACAATTCCTTCCCCGTGCTTTCAGTTCCCTTTCAAGAGCAATGACAATGCAGAACGTTGGGTCAGCATTGGCAAACGCCCACCCTATTTAGCTCGGTGCCTTCTGTGTATGTGTTCTGCAACACCATGCAAATTGCTTTCAGGGGCAAACCACAAACATTAAACATTCTGCTTCCCAGTGATCTTATTCTAAGATATATTTCTTCAGGGCTGCAGAGCTGGCTCGGGCGAGTGAGTTCGCTGACAGGGATCCTTCGCTCCCATAAGCTGCACTGGCACAGTGTCAGTAAGGACACCCGGCTCTGCTCCTGTCAGTGCCATCACTGAAGACACAGTAAAACCAGCTGTGACGCTGGAGCAGGATGGCCGGTTTTAAGGATGGCCACAGAGGTTAATTTCCAAACCAGGGGTTTGCGTTTGTTTTGGAAAATCTGCTTTATGCTTGGGATGCCCCCTTTGCTAATGTTTGTGGCAGCTTAGCAAGGGAAGCTGCTCTCACACACTCAGAGCACTGGTTCAGTATTGATTTGTGCAGTGTTTGAGTGCCTTGGCTAAAATTAAACCCTGCACAGCACAGGAGGAAGACACTTGGCAAATCTTCCCTGCTAATGGCAGTCTTTGGTGTTTATGACCCACTCTTTCAAGGAGTCAAATTCCATAGCTTTGGGAATTCAGGTCTGTGTGTGTTTCAGTAAGTAGCAGATAAAAGGGGAAATGACACAATTATTGTTGTGGGAGTGCTGGGAAAGAGGGGAGCAAGTAACCAAAGTGGCAAATAGGATAAAGCCGGTGCTGCTTGCCTGATAAACACTAAATTGTTACCTTCTAAAAATGTCACATTCACTTAGTCCTTGAACTTGTAGATAGTCTATGGAACCCATCACAACAATTCTGGCCAGGGCGACTTATTTTATATTGTTATTTCTTGTATTTTAATTTTCTGTTGTGAGCCGCCCCGAGGCTTCAGCGAATGGGGAGGCATAGAAATGTTTTAATAAATAAATAAATAAATTCACCAGAGTATGGGGCAAGAGGACGCCAGGATTTTACCACTGGATTTTAATGATTTAATAAATCAATAAATAAGCAAACAAAAGGAAATGCTTGTTTCAGACAAAGTATAGTTACGCTATGGGATTAACTACCGCATGAGGTAGAGATGGCCACCAGTTTGGCTGGCTTTAAAAGGTAACTGGTCAGATTCATGGAAGACACAGCTATGACAACTAGTTCTGATAGTTATATGCACTCTCTAGTATCAGAGGACAAATGCCTATATACACCAGTGCTGAGAAACATGGGCAAGAGGGTGCTGCTGCGCTCACGTCCTGTTTGCGGGATGCACGTGGAGAGCTGGTTGACCGCAATGTGAATAGACTGCTGGACCAGAGAGATCCTTGGCCGATCCAGCACAGCTCTTCTATGTTCCTGGTGTGACTACTCAACACTGTCTCTTGGAGTGTGGTAGTGATGGTGTTAATACAAAACCTTGAGACACTGCACCCAAGAGGACAGAATGGAATAACCTAAATGCAACATGGGTGCTGCATTTGTGGACTGCTAGTTTAATACCTCTGCTGCTTGATTGTTGCATAAGAGGCATGCTGGATCAGGCCTGGCAAGTATCAGGTCCACGAGCAAAACAGGATGCCCACACTCGTGTTTGCTGGCCATGGCATGGAATGCTGCTTCACGCTGGTAATAGGCAGTCTTCATGACTATACTGACACGCTTGCAGTTCGTGAAAGTTCTTGGAAATCTGTTCCCTTTCTGGTTTTGGGGAAGAAGACATGGACCAGAAGAGGGGAAGAAGGTTTTTAAGGTGGAAAATATTTAAAAACTCACCACGTATTTATTTATTTATTTATTTAAAATGTATCTTGGAGCTCAGCGAGCTGCCTTGGGTCCTTTACAAGGGGAAGAAAGGGGAATGCAATAATAACAGTGGCAAAGATTCTAAGAAAGAAAAACCCAGCAAACACCAATCTAAGCCTAAACCTCCAACACACAACTGCAGTTGCAACCTAGTCCAATAAAAGGAGAGGGGGAAAGCCAGAGTAAAGTAGTAAGACTTCAGAGCCTCCTAAAAGACTTTCATGATGGGCTCTGGCAATTCCCCAGTGGCAACTTATTCCAAAGGTGTGGACCCCTGCAGAAAAGGCCCTCTCTTGTAGCTGTCCACCTAACTACACTCACCAGTGAGCAAATAAGGAGGATTTCTCTGGCTGATCCTAAACTGCAGGCAGATTGATAAAGGCGGAGTCATATGATTTGTTCTCAAACCATTTAGGACGGTAAAGGTGGAATCAGGTCTTAGAAACACACCTGTCATTGGTACAGCTGGCACAGTACCAGCATTGGATGATCTGATCACCTCACCTCCATTAAGCTATTATTAATAATGGCTCGGATCCGTGTCAGCCATATGGACAGACATCTGAGAAGGATGATTTCACTTGGAGTCCGGCACTGAGCAGAGGGCTGGCCCCGGTGACCCCCTCCAACTCTGCTATTCGGTGATCGTGGCCTGAAGGTATAAGCGCAGAACTAACGCAAAAACTGCCCCGCCTCAATCACGAACTAGCTGACCAATCAAAAGAGTTCTTTGCCCGTGCGGCTCCGCCCATCTAGAACGGGAAAAGAATACAGACAGGCAGGGCTTTCGCCGTTGCTTCGCGTCATTATCTAAGCAGAGCAGCTGCCCAATCAGAACTGGAGGGGCGGAAGCTTTGCCTTCCTTCCGTCCCCGCCTCCTATGCTTTCGCCCAATGCTGCAAGGCAGGGAGGGCGTGGTTACTTCGTAGTTAGTGCCTCCCTTGGAACCTCCTCCTCCAATCAACTGGGCTTTCCATGGTGCCGCGCCTCCCTGGTCCATGACTGCAACAGCCGCGGGAGGTTGGGAGTTGCTGGCTTAGCCGCAGAGCGCGAAGCGAGGTGGACCTCGTTGTCCAGTCCGTCCGCTATGGAGCAGGGCCCGGAGCAGGAAGCTGCGGCGCCCGCGGCGGATCCGGGCCCGGAGGTCTCCTCCGGCTCGCGTTTGCCGGGGGGCATAGGATCTGCGGAAGCCTTGGCGGCGCTGGGCGCGATCGGGCGGCGCTTGCTCTGGCTGCTGCCCGTGTACCTGGCGGGCCGGGCGGGGCTCAGCCTGGGCTTCGTGGTGGCCGGCGTGGCTCTGTACATGGGCTGGCGGGGCCGACGGATGGGCAAGGAGCGGTCTCTGCGGGCCGCTGGATTGCTCCTGGGCGATGAAGAGGCGGCGGTGAGCGCCACGAATCTTGGCCGAAGTCTGGGTCAGAGCGAGCTGCCCGCCTGGGTAAGAGCGACTCGCCCCTTCTCTTTCCAGATTTAGTTAGGAACAAGGATGGTGTAGTAGGAGGATTCTTCCCTACGATCCCTTTAGCTTGTGCCCGGATCAGTACAGGGGCGGCGGGAGTGTGCGGCTAACTGGGACGACTTTCCGACCCCGAGGTTTGATCCATCGCCACATGCACACGCCGGATCCTCTGACCCTGGATGCGATCATCTGCAGATACTACCCTTTCCGCATGTACGGCTGCTTACGTGGATTGCAATCTTCTGCTGCGAATCATTGCTTTGGCTACCGTTTTTAACCCAGCTAAATTGAGGGTGGTAATCCCACCCAACCATAGCAACACAGGCACAAATTACTTGCCGGTTAAAATACCAGTTTGTTTAAGTTTTCCTGCCCACCCACATCCAGATTCCTGCCCCACCTTTATTCCATCATGGGACCTAAAGCAGTATCCAAGGGATTCTCAGGTTATCTCTTGGACCCAGACTTGTTTAGAGCCACATCATGTGCCCACCAGTCCTATCCTGGGATCTTCCCTTCTTACTTCGGGGGACTGTACAAGTTCTGGTTGACTTGAGTGGCGTGATTCTGAGTTATCCATTGGGGTAGCCCTCCAGATGTTTTGAATTTCAGCACCCATGAGCCCCAGCTCACACAGTCAGAGGCCAGTCATTTTTGACATGGTTGAACTTCATCTGGAGGGAACTCAGTTACCTCTCCCTGGGATGCCCCATTGTATGCCTTCCTTTTAATTCCAGCCCTGCCCAGGTCCTGCTTGCCCCTTGCCAGGTTTCTTATGGGGAAAGTATTCTAGACTCTGGCCTGGGGAAAAGGAATGCCAGTGGATGAGCCTCCCTGCTTGTTCTTGCCTTCCCTGGGTGTTGCCCCTTGCCACTAGCCTCAGGCCACACTGCATCTGCAGTAATAGTGGCCTTTCTTGCAAGGATGTTGTAAGGATTAAGACAGGATAATGTATGTAAAGTGTGCTGGACAATATGAATCCAAGCTATTATTATTAGGCTGTAGTACAGACCTGGGCATTGTACGGCCCGCGGGCCACATCCGGCCTGGTGGCTGACCCTGACTGGCCCGCATGAGGTCACTGGCAAATTAAAAGTCAATGCAAATATATATCGTCGTAATATCAATGCAAGCAATGCAACTGCACTGCTTTTATTTTGAAGGATCTGCTAAAATGAATTGAATTTATTGCTTTTCATGTAATGTTAATGTTTTTGTGAATATTCATTAAATAGTGTTGTTCTGTGCTCCACATTTTCATTGTATCATTGTAATGTTTCATTTACTGTTTTTATAGAGATATAGATTGAGCAGAGCTGTAAGTGTAGTGGTCCAGCCCTTAACAACTGTCAAAGTTTCTCATGTGGCCCCATAGGAAAATTAATTGCCCACCCCTGCTGTAGTAGTAACTCTTTGGCCTTACACCCTGACAACTTCCTCTGGTATTCCTGTCTTGAATAGAAGGAAGTTTAGCACTATTATCCTGTAACTTTCCATGACAAAATGTTTAGTATGGAAGAGAAACATGGAGAGGGGGGAGGAAGATGCCCCTACAGTATCTCTGATTGCTGCAGCTTGAGGAAAAAGGGCTGTGCATGCTGCTTGCAAGGTAGTTGCTGTATCTTAGCATCTCCCTTGTACTTGCAAGTGGTATGTTTTCCGGCCTTTCATCTCTGATGCTTCCCTTAGATCCATAATTCTTTAATTAATTTATTTATTTCATTTATATGCCACCCCAATAGCCCAGAGGGCTATTACAGACATTCCATCGTTACATATTCTGTTTCCATATTTTACTCTCCCGACAACTTCCTCTAGGAGCCTGCATCCCTGGAGAGACTCCCATTTGGCTTTCCTTCTTTCTCTGCCACTTTTAAAAATCTGCAATGACTTACTTCCTAACATGTGTAGATGCCCATCCTGGAGGCCGTGTGTTCTTTCCCATCCTTCCACCCAAATACCCTATTGCTTTTACCAGCAGTTTTCATAATATACCAGCTTACTGGCATTGTCATCAACATTTCCTATCCTGTTCCTTTCCAGAGAAGCATTAAAAAGGGGTGAACTAAGGGACAAGTATATCTGAATAGAAAAAGAGGAAAAGGCTCAGCAGGTAGCTTTGTGCCAGAATCTGCCTGCATCTCTGGGTATCGGCTGTATCTCTCCACACCTCTCAGTTCCTTAGCTAGTATTGATCTGGGTGTGCTAATGTAAGGTTAGACCAACCTCCCTTTCAGCTAGCTAAACACATACTAGTGCAGGACAATAGAAGATGTCCAAACAGACTATTAATTAACCTATGCACAGAAAAGGACTGTCCCTTTGTCTTTATCTTACATGTTTCACCGAGTATAACGTTTTGCAGGTTTGAGATCTGACTTAATGCCACTGGATATGCAAAGGGTCCAAATATTTGGTTGTTGAGAATAATACAGGGAACGCCTTTGTAACTGGTCTTATAGCATCTTCATCCAGGGTGAGTTCACAGGTTATGATTTAGAGCACAACGCTGCATGAGCAGAAGCCCATTCATACGACAGGATGTCACCATCCTGTCTTCCATTGCATGCTGCACGCAGATCTGCTCCAGAAGGTCCCCCAGTCCTCTGGAGCAGAGTTGGGGGTGGGAGGAGAGGGTGCAGAAGAGAAAAGAAATCCAATTTGCCAGCAGTTTCCCTTCCACTGGTGGAACGGCACCGATGGCTACACTCGTTATCCACATGCTAATTGCTGCTATTACATGATACGCTTGATATGCAAGACTGGCATTGCAGGCTTCTTGCTGCGTGAAGTATTGTCTCCTCAGGCAATTAGTTTCCCATGGGAGACAGTGATGGAATGTGATAGCTCACTTCTGCGATGAAATGGAATGTGAACTTGCCCTTGGTTAACCGTAGCCGGAGCCTTGTGCACAAACCGTGAGCTCCGTATTGCTCCAGGAGGGGCAATCCTCACACACTATTTGGCTAGCTGCTCAGTTCAGCACTAATGTGGCTGAAATGCATCCTGGCTTGTCTTAAAGGCATTTTTTTAACTGCGCAGAAGCTGGAATCACACAGCACACTGAATATGTAATTGGCACATGTTTAGTTCCACCCACTTTCCCTGTAATTGCTAGCGTAGCTTACTGATGTGCTAAACGTTGAGGGTTCCTGTCCTCTTCAACAGAGGCCTCTAATGTGGATAGGAAATACCTGGATATGTTGCCCCAAATGTTAGAGCTCAAAAGTAGAATGAAATGTGTTACTGCAGTTTTTGCAGCCCTCATTTAATGTTAATTTTAGGTTTGAATATCCCTAATGGGACGCTATCTAATGGTCAAATTTTTCACATCACCTTTCCCAGCCTGGTATCTTCCAGATGCGCTGCCATTACCAACCAGTTGCAGGTTAGCTAGCTGATTCTTTGTGTTGATCTGGTTTTGCGTGTTACAGCTTAACTTTAAATAACCCCATCTGATCTTGTATTCCCTTCACATGCCTTATCATTATTCTACATTTCCTTCCTATGTGACAAGTGGCATAAAATAAGATAAGGAGGTTATGAATGAAGATAGTGCTGCATGCTCAGATCCGTTGTGGCCGGGGGTTTTTCCTCTTTCTTTTCTGCTTCCCCGGCCCAGGAACCTTGTGGCTGATAAGGAGCAGCACTTAGCACAGTAGAGAAAAATGTAGAAAGTGCCATGCTATGGAGGAGATGGCCCTGGATAGGGGAGCGCCTTTGCAAGGAGCCCTCAGCACCCTTGTTGCAGCAGGGAACGGAAAAGTGAGATCTTTCTCTGCACGGTTTAGTGTGATGGGTGTGGTCTGGTCATTCAGCAGCCTTAGATTCGGTAGGGATGTAAAGGGCTGCAGCAGCTAAGCAGGCACTTCGTTCAAAGTCTGGGAAGTCTTGGCTCAAGCAGATAAAATTTTGGGGCAGAGGTAACTCATAGATCTTGTTAACAGAGGCCAGGGCAGGATTCTGGAGTGTTTTCTGCTTAGAAATCCCCATCTCTGCCAAGGCAATCTGCCTGTTATGTCAAAGGAAGCTAAAATCTGTAACATGTACGGATTATGGGCTTTATGTGGTTTTGTTTTTATTCGAGTCAAAACAGGTATTGCCCAGATCGTAGGTAGCAACAGCCCGTGGTTTAAACAGTCAGCTCAGTTGTAGTTGTTGGGGGTAATGTGTGGTTTCTTGTAGGGTTAACTGCTGGATTGTTCAGTCCCCCAGTTAACCACTGGTCAGAGTTTGAATGTCACACTCGGCCAACTGACTGGGTGGAAGTGCAGGTGTGCAGGAGGCAGCATGCTCTCCCCAGTTCCTCCATGATCAACCACAGGTTGTTTAAACCATGGACTGTTGTATGTGGATTATGTTATTACTGTGACTTGCAGCTACACATTTTTCAGTTTCACCCTAGAGCTGGTGCAGAGCCCATGACTGAGAACTTGAAAGCTCCTCCTGCCTCTCATGCCAGGGTCCTGAGCTGCCTTGGGCCCCCACACCTAATGTAGAGCAAAAAGGGAGCGGGGAGATGTATCTGCTAGATGCAGATTTCTAGCTGTTCATGTTTTTGGTCATAGGAAAAGGCAAGGAGTTCCAAAGCGCTGGCTGCTCTGGGTGCAGCACATTTGCCCCCTTTCAAAATGCTTTCGTGGAATTGCAGGATACTTAGAGCCCTGGAAATGGGGAGGGTGTGCTCCTGGAGCAAGAGCTGGAAAGGACAGGCAGTGCAGCGCTGCTGACTCTGAAACTGTTAAAGCCACCATGTCATGGTGGATGTATTTTAATCTCTTGCTGAGGATGCAGTACAGTAAAGGAGGAAATTGCTTTCCTGATTAGGATAGTTGCTTTCAGCAAGAATGCCATGTGCCAGGTACCATTTTGCCCTGGAAATGGGTTCTGGGTGTGTTTGGTGCCTTCATATTATTCAAGCCCTCCAGTTTCAGTTGGCCAGATAATAAGAACTAAAATGCTGAAACTGAGACAGTGGT